AAAACGATTTGTATTTCGCAAATCAAAGTGATAGTTAAAGCAACCAAACTGTGTCAGAAATGTTCCCAAATTACTGGGTAAGGCTTTTATCAGCTCATCATCTGATCCAATAATTTTAATTGTGGCATTTCATTCGGCATGTCGCCGCACGACTTCTATGATACTCAAAGTCTCACATATATAATTTGAAAGGGGGGGTCTGGGGGGGCGGCGCCCCCTCAGCAGGTAGCTTTTGCTACTTGTTTAATTTTTATAAACTTAATGAATATGCAAAATTTTATCAACAGTGGAATGAAATTCAAAGAGCATCTATTTTCACATTTTCTTGAGGAAGGTTGGCAAAAATAAATGATCTGTGTAGTTGTTAAATCGTTCATTTGACCGATGAGGGCTACATTGACCGAATGATTCGAAATGAATCGGACCGTTCATCCTGTTTAGACAATTCAAATAAGTCGAATGATCTTTTTTTCGGAAAAATACTTATATCTTGCAATACTGAAAAATGTTTAATAGGCAGATTTTTAAATGTTAGACATCACAAATGTGACTAAGTTAATGATTTAGAGTGGGATTTATAACCTACGTTAGTTTTTTATTTATTTTATCGAGTATAGTTTTTCGAGTCGAGATGAACGCCTAGATATTTTGCAGAATCTTTAAGTGGTATCTGGACTCCGTGGAGGAATACAGGGGGGAGGGGAAGCTTTCGGAGCGTGAAGTTAAACATGGATGACTTGGTGGCATTGAAGGAAATCCTCCAGATAGTGCTCCAGATTTGTAATTCGAGGAGTATATTCTGTAGCTTGTCAGATACTGTCTCAGGACTGTTATGAGAGGAAAGATATGCCGTATCGTCTGCAAAAGTTCCAGTAAAAACCGTAGGAGAGGTAGGCAGATCGTAGGTGAACAAAAGATACAGGAATGGTCCCAGGATACTTCCTTGCAGAACTCCTGCTGATATTTCTCTAGCATCTGAGAGGGCGTTTTCTATGCACACTGCGAAAGAGCGGTCAGCAAGATATGATTTAAATAAAAGATAATATTGAAGGACAAGCGTTTTGATTTTGTAAAGGAGACCAGGATGGTATACCTTGTCAAACGCACTTTGTACATCCAAGAAAATGGCTCCACAGTATTCGCCCTCTTCGAGAGACCTGGTGATATAATCGACTACTCTGTGGATTTGATCTATTGAAGAATTGCCCTTTTCGAAACCCAAATTGGTGGGAAGGTAATGCTATTTGCGGGCAATCAAGGAGCAGTCTCTTCAGCAACAGCCTTTCATTACCAAAAACAGAGAGCAGACTAATTGGCCTATATGAAGATGGATTGTGTAAGGGTTTATCAGGTTTGTGAAATGGGAGAAGAATGGCGATCTTCCAGGCTGTTGGGAAATAATTATGTGAAATCATTGAGTTGTATAATGTCGACAGGGCGGCTAGACCTTTCTGAGAAAATTGTTTCAAAATAAAATTCGTAATTTTGTCTTGTCCCGGGGCTTTGTGCTTAGGTAGGGATGCTGCTGTGGAATGAATTTCCGATGGAAAAATACGTTTAATGGGGAAGTCTAATGGCAGGGGAGATTCTAGGAAGGTGGATATAAATTGGGGGGGGGGGGGTTCTTTGCTGACTGGAGTGAAGACTCTTTGAAAGTGGGAAGCAAAAATCTGAGATTTTTTTGCGGGGGAAGAGACCCAATCTCCTGTGTTGTCCAGTAGGAGGGGCAGTGGGCGGCGGGGGCGTGAAAGTGATTTACTAATTTTATAGAGGGAGTAGTCTGAGTCTGCAAAAGGGGTCAATTTTTCGATAAATTCCTCGAAAGTGTTCCTTCTGTACTTGGCCTGTTCTTTCTTTATGCGTGACAGGAGGGAGTTTAGTTGGTTTTTTAAAGCTGGCATCCTCTGGCGTCGCCACAGTCCTCTTAATACTCTCCTCCGCTTAATCATATCTTTAATTTGTAGTGGTACGTTGATGGGGGATTTTACTACTACTGATAGGACGGTTGCTTCATTCAAAGCGTACTTCACCGTTTCCTCTAGGTGCATGATTTGATTGTCTATGTCCTCAGTTGTGGGCAAGGTGGGCAATGTGATTTTTTTATCAAATTCATAGCGGAAATATCCCATAGCTCTTGTTATGGAGGCAGTGTTTTTTTGCTTGAACACAAAAGATTTGGAGAGATTGAGTATTACTAGGGAATGATCAGAGGTTTGCTCTCGGGTATCCTCGATGAGGGTATAGTGTGGGCTAAGTTGCTTACACAAGAAAAAATCTATCAAATCTAGTGAGCGATTTAATTGTACAGGCCAATAGGTCAGCTCCCTCCCAGAAAGCGTGGAGACGGACAACTGCGTTAACACAGATCGAAGGATTCAGCCTCTGCGATTGTCAGTGCGAGAGCCCCAGCTTGGATGTTAAGAGTTGAAGTCGCCTCCCGCAAGGAAGGAGGGGTCGAGGAACCGTACTAAGTCTGAAAAGTGTTCGTAGTTAATCATATGGTAAAATTCGGGACTAGGTGAGACATAGATTGAGGATATTCTGGTTTCCCAATTGTCTAGCAAGACTGAGATTGTGCAACACTGAATTGCAGGAGATACAAATGAAGGCGGTAGGTGATGCTTTAGGTCTGACGATATAAGGAAGTAAGTAAGTAAGGAAGGCTTGGCTGACCGGCGAGGCGCCCTCAAGGGGCCAAGGCAACTGGCAGGAACCCTGCTGTTGTGCACCCCGAAGTTGGACCGTGCTCCTTAACCTCAAATCATTGACACATTGTACACAATCGTAGTGAAATAAAAAACTTAATTAGACTTCGAATAGGACATGGAAACTTCCCATCTCATTTAAATAGACTAAATCTGAAAGACTCAGAATTATGCGATTGTGGACTATATGGTGACTCAAACCATATATTATTTGAATGTCAAAATCTAATAAATCGAGATATATTGATTCAAAATCTAATCAAAAATAACTACTTTCCTCCATTTAACGTCTCATATATACTTCACACCCCGGATCCCAAGATATATAAAATCATCGCTAATTTTCTAAAAGTCAATAATATAAATCTTTAACAGGAAAAAAAAAATAACCTATAATTCCTGGCATAATGAATATTCTACCTACAATGATAAGGCAAAAAAAAACCCTTTCCTTTTCCCTTCAGCCTAGATTGAGGCTTGAGTCGTCTAAAGGGAGGTGCCAGCAAAATGAACAAGATGATCCGTATATGAGTAAAATGAACGGATCATGTTGGTGAGTCGAATCATCATGACCAAGTCACAGAAAAGAACGATTTGTCCGAGCACTAGATCAGACCTCATTGATGTGTCTTATCATCATTTTTGTGCGTCTTTATGTATGAAAATTGAAAAGCCTGTACAGTTGGCTGTATGCCTTGCGTACAACAGACCCATTTAAAAATTAGACCTGTGTAAGTAACCTGACAGCTAATAATCGACATAAAATTTCTTAACTCTGGCAGAAAAGCAGGATGGTCATGTAAAATGGGAGAATGTGTGTGAGAAGAAGAAAAACTAGGATTAACTCCATCACATTTTCCCCCTCATTTTAATGTATAATGAGGTATTTTAATGTATAATAATGTATAGTGAGGTACCCTATTAATCTAGTAATGGGAAAGTCCAGTTTTGGAAAAAAAGTTTCTTTCTTTCTTTAGTTTTTGTCCTCAAAAAGAACCAATCATGAATTTCGGTCAAAAATGTGGATGAATTTGAAGGAAGGCCTCGGAAATTTTCTGCACCCCTGCAAGCTGATTATTAAAATTGAAGGACAGAGTGATAGACAAAGAAGAAGGAGACAAAGGAAAAATGGAACTATCCTATTGGTGGAAGCGGGTGGCTGCAATGGACGCAGGGAAGTAAGTAATAGACAAACTAAGGGTAATTCTCAAGGGACCCAATACGTACCACCCCCTATTTTCCCTCCCAGTCCATAAGAACCAACCTATAGGATGGCTCTGTTTATCCTTAGCCCGTGTCTATCACTTTGTCTTATCAATTTCAATAATCAGCTTGCTTGCAGTAGCAAAAGTTTGCAACAGACCCATTCTGGCATGCTGAGAAAGAAACATTGCATGAGCATTTGAATGCTTGCAAATTTTCTCCCAGAAAATACGTACTTTCCTGAAAATTAGTGATTTTTTAAAGTTATCTGGCAATTCTGAAGTCTCATATGACGTTCTTCCTCAGCACCGCAGCTTACCATGGTCAGCAGTTTATTTTTTTGCAAGCAGTTAGAAAGGTCAAACTATTGCTCACCAATGTACAAAGAAACCCAGCTTATTCTTCATTTGATCAATGTCAATCATTCATCTCTTTTTCACCTAAATTGAAATTCTTTATGTATTCTTTCCATTATCCCATTTTAATGTTTTATTTATCAATTCTTTGTTCACAGATCTCAGTCGGATCTCGTGTACATACTCAATGATTGTTTATTGTTAAGTTTAGTTTTAAGATTTTTGCATTGTTTATTGTAGTTTTATATATTTAATTTACTTATCGTTTTTTATTGTACCTAACATTTTTTACTTTATATTTTCCTTCTTTGTTATGCATAATTACTCATCTGTTATGATGCAGCTGGAAGTAGAAAGTTAAAGTTATCTTAAGTCAAAAGAATTTCAAAAAGTACTCACCTCTGACTATCAATCCTGGAATTCTTCACTTCAAAAATTAAGGTTTACCATCAGTATTTCCCCTCCATTATTTCCTTTTTTTTATCTGATGAATTTAAGTAAGGACATGGTCTGAAACATTTTTTTATTAACAAAGACTCTGGTAAAGTGCAAGAGGATCATTGGTGTTGCTTTCTTATTGACTTTAAAATAGCCTTGCGCTGCATTGATCATTTTTTGGAGTTCATTTTCTTGAAGTATTAACTTTGCATATGGAGTTCAACTGTATACGTATAAACATGAACCACTCAGCCCTAAACTTCTCACACATGTAGATGCTTGACCCTCTCAGAAAATGTTCATACTTTGCAAGGTTGCCTCAGTCAGGGAATACCAGGAAATCTGAGAAGCGTCAGGAAATTTTAAAAATTCAGGGAAAACCTGGAACTGTTCGGAAAAATGATGAAAGGTGTCATGAAAAATTAGTTAAGTCTCCTTTATTTGCCTCCTGAATGGATGTGAAGTTTCGAACAACGGTTTTTGCGTAGAAACTATTTCAAATTATGTCTTGTCAACCCTCATATTTTCAATTGTCAGGGAACTCTACCTTTATGCATCAGGGAACTTTGTTTTCTCAGTTCTGTGGCAACCCTGACTTTAATCTCCTGCTCAGGTACCTAGGAAACGAGTTGGTACTAACTAAAACAAACGAATATGTTTGTCTCTTACGCTCTTTTATATTTTGCAATAACTTATGGTTTATGGTTCAGGAATGAGTAATAGTGCAGACTATGCTTTTTGATGGATTTCAGCAATTTACTGAGAAAAAGGGATTCTGTACTCTAAGTAAAATCTTACCACGTCTAAATAAAAGAGTTAGAACTGGCTTTCGTACTCTTTAATGCCCTTTTAAGGTCAGTTGGAGTTAGCAGCATTCCATCTTCACTCTAAAGTTTCAGGCATTATTATGATTGGCAAGCCTCTTTATGGCTCCGAAAAATCCTGATTTATTTGTGATTTTCGCATGACTTAGACCTGTGATAGAAGTGTGTCCTCTCCCCCCTCCCTTTTCTGCCCCTTCCCATCTATTCTCCCAGAGAAGCTGAGCAGCCAATGAAAGAACAATTTTTGACAGGTGGTCAAGCATCGTTTTTTTGTTATTTTTCTGGATCATTAGTATTTGAAATTTTTAGTAAAATCTACCATTTTTATTGTAAATCTTAAGGCGACGGATTCAGTAACTTTAAAATGGAAAGAATGAAGAAGGCATGCTACCCCCCAGAAAGCACTTAAATACTAAAGGTAATTTATACCTTATAATAAAGGAACAAAATGACCAAAGACTAGAGCATGGCTCCTGTAAGTTAAGGAAAGAATACTCACTGTATTTAATCATACAGGGGAGGGGTGGTAGAATCACTCATCTTTAGTTAGGCCTAAGTTTTACGGTGATCGATTCCCAATTTCTCTCTCAAGGGTGAAAATAACATACATGATACTAAATTAATACTTATGTTTTAAGACAAAGAATTTTTAACCCGGTGTATTATAATTTCATCCGTCTAAGATTGGTTGGAATGTTTAAACTCTTGCACAGCAGCTATAGAAGGAAAATAAGATAATCTTATTGATCAAGCACAATGCGCAGCAAGGAACAAGTTCCTAAAAATTTTATATAAATGTATGTAACTAAGAAATGCTCCGGTCTTTTGATATGATTCCTCAAATCCTCAGTCTGTCACAGTGCAATATCTCTATAGGATAGATACTAATAAAAATGTATTTACTTTTACTTTAAAATAAAAGTAGATGAGACAGTATGTTGCAGCAAGAACAGCAGTTGACAGAAAGGAAACTTTTTTTGAGCTAAACACATCTTGGAACATGAGAGAAAACAGAAATAAAGAAATTGACTCTTTTGGCAAGCAGCATACCACAAAACCTTTGGGAACAGAATGCATGCTATTCTGTCACCAGGTACAGCTCCAACTAAAATCACATTTCTCTTCGGAAATATTCAGCATTTTGTTATCTAAAAATCAACACCTCCTTATAGTAATTCTGAAGACCTTACCATAAGCTGAAGAAATTTGACAGAGTTAAGCAAAATAGTCACATCTACTTTGCGGTGTTTCAAAATTTCATCTCCCATTTTCATTCTTTGAAGGGACGCGACCAACATCCTCCCTCGAAAATGGTTGCAATTTTTCTTGCCTGTACAGAAGTTATTCTCACAACATCAAAGTAAAACGTTGATTGGGTTCCTTCTAAAATATTAAAATAGGAGAAGAGATTTCGAAACACCGCAGTATTGATGTGACCTTTTTGCTTAACTTTATCCGGTTTCTGTTGTTGTTATGAGAGTGTCATTATGAGAGAGCTGAAAGTGGATTACAAATCCTCTGATAATTGCTAAAGCTGTATTTTTAGGCATTCTTTTTCTCATAAAGATACTTCGCTTCTTTGTTTTTTTAGTACAGAGTTCATTACTGTAAGTAACATGTATTTCAATGGCTTAGTGTGGAAAGTGCATATCTTAAAGCAACTTTTGAAAACCTCCGTTCATGTTTCATTTTCTTTAAAAAAAATCAATGAAAATGTTTCCCTCAATTTCGTGTCATTTTTTCAGAACAAGTGAAAATTAACCGAAAATTTCAGGAGACTGTTTGTTTGTTTTCCTTTAAAAAAAATGAAAAACATGAGCGGAGACTTAAAGCATCGCATCTGAGGTTTGCATTTTTTGACTTGAGCCATCGCTATGTTGCTAATAGTGTAGCGGAGGTCAAACTATTTCTTAGATAACAATTTTGAAAGAAGATCCCTGTATGTAATTTGTAAACTTGTCTTTTCTCAAAACTTGTATGTTCTCTATGACCTCAAACGTTGCATCTTCATCAATTCACACTTAATCTAATTTGTGCCAAAATCTACATAAATTCCTCCTGTTCGCAACAATATCCTTATCCGGATTTTTAGTTATTGGTAGACAAGGTGGCAAAATAGTACTAGATCCATAGTATTTTACCACCGTGTTACATTCAGTTCAGGCCACATTTTTCCGTTTCTTTCTTGTCATTGGTAGACAATGTATCTTTTTACAGATTTGGTTACAAGTATTGATTTCCAGAAATTCTTATACCTCCTTGCAAAGATGCAAACTTATTGCCAGCATGATAATAGAAGAGTCACAGTGATAGTAATATCTAACCATCTTGTTAGATTTGTCTGAGATTATCTCTGACAACCAAGCAAATGAAAGGCAACTAGACAAGGTCTAAACCAGAAAAATGGTCACATGTTTCCCATTCCAAATCTTATTAAGAAAACTATTCACGCAACGGGAAGTTGGAATTCAATTTCTGAACGGGATTTTAACAAGTTGATAATTTTTGATACCTAGCAAATGGAACTTAGATAATATGAATGAAGTCATGTATCTTTGCCATTTAACTAGTGTTAATCGTGAACACTTATACATACCTTGTCTAAAGTTAATTTCAAGACCTCTCTTTGTGTGTGTTTTTTTCCTGTAAGAAAACATGCTTTATAGTGCTATAATTCATACCTGTCTAGAGGCTCATTCTGTTTTTTTGAACAAGTCTCCATAATTTCTGTATACCGAATTCATTCGAATTCCTTCCCCTCTTTTTTGCAGTGAATGCAAAAAAGAGATGCAATGAATCTGAGGTAAAGTCAGGGACTATTTTGATAAGTCTGTTTTTCATTTATTTTCATTTTTTTGGTTTTAAAAAAATGAATTGTCTGGAAAAAAAATCCTTATCTGAAGAGAAAACTGAGATGATTTTCATGTTGATCACTTTTTTAATTTAAGGCACTAAAGCCTTAAGGTTTGTTTACTGGCTTAAAGTCAAGCTTATTGTGAGGGTCATCCTAGCTTATCAGTGAATCACGCGAGGTTAATCAAAAGTTATTTATGTTAACATTCATTGATCTGATGATAGTTAAAGTTCATTGTTGAGCCTCACGTTAAGCTTCACTGTAAGTGTGTGTACATGCCTTTAAAAGTAAGGTAATTTGTAATACTTAACTCTAATTTTTATCTTCTTTTTTTAATCAATACCTATGTATAAGATCAACACTTATCGAAAAAGAACTTGAATTTCCCTCTCGGTTTTTTCTCTACTTTACTTTATTACTTAATAATTCTGGGATGAAATAAATGAAGGACGTGTGATTATTTCGTAATGACTCCGTCATGTGGAACTTCAAGTATCTTTGAGGGTTAATTGAGTCATAATTGTGATTCTTAAGGATAAACTTTTGGCTTGCTGGTAAGATTCAACAATTTAGCAAGTAAGTAAGCAAGAAAAGTAAGCACATATTCATAGTCATGCGTCCCTCTTATGTTATTATTGTCCCCATTTTCTTCCACAACTTTGTCTACACAGCCCCAAGCTTCATATTCTCGTGTAACACTTTTTTCCTTGTTCCCTCTGTCTAGCATTTCGTTGTTTTAATTTCTGATCTCTTATGTAGTAACATGTATTACATATCTGTTTCGTCCGAGTAATCTTGGGTAGTTTTGGTACCCCTCTGTCTTATTTTAAAATACTCATGACTTTTGAAATAAAATTCTTTATTCTCATTTCAGTCAAGTCTTCATATCATTTTCATTTTCTATGAGTCATAATGATTCTTTGTGTAATTATTTCACTTATTTAGCTTTCAAAGAATTTATCCAATGAATAAAAATCATTGATTTGCCTTCCCTCGCCTCATATAATCCCGATTTAAGATTTTGGTGAAGTAAAAAAAAAAACACATAATATTTTTTTTGCAAATTGCAATTCGCGATAGAAGAAACTTTAAATTACTGTAAAATTTCCCTTTTATTTGAGATCAATTCAGTGTTCCAAAAGGTCTTGCCCAAAATTATTATTTTTGCAAATTACGCATTTGGTCAAATTTGAAAGCAGACCCAATACTCTTTTGAAGTCCTACTCTGGTTTTTTAAACTCCGTGATTGAAACAGAAGAAAAAAATGTAGGATTAAAACATTGATAGAATCCTTGAACACAGGTTTAACGCATTGTGTCCAGACCAGGAAAATGTTAGGTTCATCAGGATATGAACATCGTCCAGAAGTTACAGGGAGGCACGACAAAATGCACAAATTCATTTAAATAAAATTAATCGTTGGACGGAAAAAGATAAAACGAAATTAAACGCGTCTAAGTCGGTTGAAGTTGTATTCACAAACAGACCGTTTGTTCACATCCCCTTCTTTTAGGGGAAACTGAAATTCCTAACGATAAAATCGCTATATATCTCGGCCTCCATCTGGATTCCAGGCTCAGGTGGGGTACCCACATTAAGAAAAAAGTCGCTCAACTGCGACTAAAATTCTCCAATATGCAGTGGCTCTTGGGTCGCAAATCTCAGCTTTCACTTCAACTAAAGCTGCTTCTCTACAAGTCAATGTTGAGGCCGGTTTGGAGTTATGGTTGCCAATTGTGGGGTTGTGCAGCCAAGTCAAATTTGGATAAGATTGAAATCATGCAAATGAAGATTCTCAGAAGTATTGTTAAAGCTCGTTGGTATGAGAGGAACGCAGATATTCGCGCTGACCTCAATATTGACTCTGTAGAGGATTACATCACCAAGATGTACTCTGCGTATGAATTAAGATTGCATCGGCACCCCAACCAAGAAGCGCTTGCGCTCTTGGAATGGGACCGGTGCAGTCGCAGGTTAAAAAGACATAAGCCCTATGAGCTTGGAATTCAGGGCTTTTCTAAATTCTTCCCTTAAAGCAAGTGTGCCTCCCCGCATCTTCGGACGGATCAGGGGTTCCTTGATCTTTGACCAGTGACGGTTGTCCACAGTCTTCACAATAAAATCAAAAGACTTATTATGATTCAACAAAAAGACATTTTTATTTCGGGAATAATCATGTACTTATTATCTCCTCAATATCTGAGGCTGTACTTATTTTTACCTAACATGATTAAAATAAATTTGTATTTTTGTTATGTAAAATTTAAATGTATATAATATTAAGTTATCACATAAAGTTATAATTAGCTTAAAAAGACAATATAATTTGTCTGTAAGCATTTTCTTTGTACTAAATTGGTTTATTGTACGAATAAAAAAAAAAAAAAATCAGGATATGAAAAATTTTACGGAAAATCCGACAATTATCAAGAAACCGGACATCTCTTCTACAGCTTAGAGGCTAGATTCTACCTTTAACTTCATTTGAATTATCCATGTTTCAAAATTCAGGGGTCAAATTCGAAAGTTCTCCGATCGGGCTGAAATGAAGCGAGTCCCCTGTAGAATGAGTCGAGAAGTCCGAATTTCTGGTCCAAAACGCTCCACGAGTCGACCCGTCCTCACTATCGCGAATAACCGCGGATATTCGAGCATGCTCGAAAGGATCAAAAACGCTCGTTTTTGACCGTTCCTCGGTTCAGGAAGCCTCGCCGCGTCTCGGGACCGTGCGCAATCGATTCTACGCCTCAAACTACGTAGGATTCGACACTAATCTAGAAATTTTTTTTCCCGTCCAAAATCGAGAAAAATCGACAGGGGTTACATGGACTAAAATTCAGGGGTCAAAATCGAAAGTTCTCCGATCGGGCTGAAATGAAGCGAGTCCCCTGTAGAATGAGTCGAGAAGTCCGAATTTCTGGTCCAAAACGCTCCACGAGTCGACCCGTCCTCACTATCGCGGATAACCGCGGATATTCGAGCATGCTCGAAAGGATCAAAAACGCTCGTTTTTGACCGTTTCTCGGTTCAGGAAGCCTCGCCGCGTCTCGGGACCGTGCGCAATCGATTCTACGCCTCAAACTACGTAGGATTCGACACTAATCTAGAAATTTTTTTTCCCGTCCAAAATCGAGAAAAATCGACAGGGGTTACATGGACTAAAATTCAGGGGTCAAAATCGAAAGTTCTCCGATCGGGCTGAAATGAAGCGAGTCCCCTGTAGAATGAGTCGAGAAGTCCGAATTTCTGGTCCAAAACGCTCCACGAGTCGACCCGTCCTCACTATCGCGGATAACCGCGGATATTCGAGCATGCTCGAAAGGATCAAAAACGCTCGTTTTTGACCGTTTCTCGGTTCAGGAAGCCTCGCCGCGTCTCGGGACCGTGCGCAATCGATTCTACGCCTCAAACTACGTAGGATTCGACACTAATCTAGAAATTTTTTTTCCCGTCCAAAATCGAGAAAAATCGACAGGGGTTACATGGACTAAAATTCAGGGGTCAAAATCGAAAGTTCTCCGATCGGGCTGAAATGAAGCGAGTCCCCTGTAGAATGAGTCGAGAAGTCCGAATTTCTGGTCCAAAACGCTCCACGAGTCGACCCGTCCTCACTATCGCAGATTACCGCGGATATTCGAGCATGCTCGAAAGGATCAAAAACGCTCGTTTTTGACCGTTTCTCGGTTCAGGAAGCCTAGCCGCGTCTCGGGACCGTGCGCAATCTACTCTACGCCTCAAACTACGTAGGATTCGACACTAATCTAGAAATTTTTTTTCCCGTCCAAAATCGAGAAAAATAGACATGGGTTACATGGACTAAAATTCAGGGGTCAAAATCGAAAGTTCTCCGATCGGGCTGAAATGAAGCGAGTCCCCTGTAGAATGAGTCGAGAAGTCCGAATTTCTGGTCCAAAACGCTCCACGAGTCGACCCGTCCTCACTATCGCGGATAACCGCGGATATTCGAGCATGCTCGAAAGGATCAAAAACGCTCGTTTTTGACCGTTTCTCGGTTCAGGAAGCCTCGCCGCGTCTCGGGACCGTTCGGAATCGATTCTACACCTCTAACTACGTAGGATGCGACTGAAATCTCGAAATTTTTTTCTCAGTCCAAAATCGAGAAAAATCGACAGGCATGGACTAAATTTTTAGCATCAAAATCGAATGTTCGTCGATTGGGCCGAAACCAAGTAAACTCGCTTGGATATGACCCGCTGAGTACAATTTTCCAGTCGGAAAAGCTCCCGGAAAAGCTTCGACGAGTCTCTCGCTTTTAGCTATTTGCAGAAAACGCTCCTGTATTAGAGTCAAAAAGTGGTCAAAACAGCTCCTTTTCTATTGTTTTTCGGCTCAGAAAGCCGAGAGTTGGGACCGTGCGGAATCGATTCTACGAGTCCAGTCATAGGATGCGACTTAAATCTCGAAATTTTTTTCTCAGTCCAAATTCTAGAAAAACCGACAGGGGTTACGTGGAATAAATTTTTAGCGTCAAAATCGATAGTTCGCCGATCGGGTCGGAACCAAATAAGCTCGTTTGGATTTGACCCGCTGAGTGGGATTTTCTAGTCGGATACCTACCTAAGCTTTGCGAGTCCCTCGCTTCGGACTATCCGCTGAAAACGCTCTAGAGAAACAGGCAGAAAGTGGTCAGAAAAGCTCGTTTTTGACTGTTTCTCGGCTCAGGATGCCTCGCCGATAGTCGGAACGGTGCGGAATCGATTCTACGCCTCCAACTACATAGGATGCGACTGAAATTTCGAAAATTTTTTCACTGTCCAAAATCGAGAAAAATCGACAGGAGTACTATGGACTAAATTTTAAGGGTCGAAATCGAAAGTTCACCGATCGGGCTGAAACCAAGGAAACTCGCTTGGAAAGGACCCGCTGAGTGCGATTTTCCGGTTGGAAAAGCTCTGCGAGCCCGTCGCTTCGAGCAATCCCCGGAAAACCACTCCTGGAAACAGTCCGACACTGGTCAGAAAACCTCGTTTTCGACCAGTTTTTGACTGTTTCGCGGCTCAGGGGACTTCGCGTATCCGCCGGGCCTCGAGAGCATGCGCAATGCATTCAGCGCCTTCAGCAACGTAGCAGTCACTTCGTTTCTTGGAGGATTGGCGTTACGACAGTAAGGTGCATGCTGCGCGATGGCTCCTTTTTCGCGCATCGCGCTAATGCGTCGTCTAGGTGAGTGTTTAAGACTACAAAATTGGACCCAGGAAGTAATTTATAGTGGACCTTCTTGGATATAGATTTATCAGAAGTTTCGAGTTTTGGCTGGAGAGTTCTGATGATTTTTTTTTGGTTTTTTGAAAAGTTCTTAATGGTGTTTGCGAAGTCATGAAAATGTACATGGTGCCGATATACCAGGCTGCCTTTTTTGAAAATATCCGGCATTTGGGGGTATTTTACCCGTCTGTGAAGTTTTGTGGATCCTCCTCACAAACGCCCGACTGGATGTAATATGGCATTAATGGAGGTTGCTTCTTTCGTACAACCTTGTTTCTGAAGATTTCTTGCACTCATTCATGAGAAATAATTTGGAATTTTTTTTTATAAGTAAAATGTAACTGCTTCAAACATTTTTGGACGAACTGAATGGACGTAAATTACTTTTTCTTTGGTGAATTAAGTCAGTTTTAAGGTGAAAATTATTGATTTTTAATGAGTTGCCAACATCTTCAATCCCCTCCTTGAATACTGAAAGAGCAGAATCTAAAAAGGAAGGAACCAAGTTGACAATTAAGTATTCTTTCTCAAATCTTGTATAATAAATAGTGTACTCAATGCAGAGACAAGAAGAAACCAACTGCCTGGTGAATGGAGATGCTACTAGGCGTCTCCTAAGCAGTTAATTAGTGTGTCCCCGGAATTCCTGGACACGTAACCTACTCACCCACAGTTTACCTGCCAGAGGTAGAGGGATTATCCACCCACATATTTTCACCCACGGTCATCTAACTGATGGATATTGACCGACAACTCCTTTTCACAAACATTTTCATCTAAATTTTACTTATATTATACATATGTGTATACATTTATGTGATTGAAATGGCGGTTAAGTGTGTTGCTTATCTGGTTCAAAAAAGAGTCCTCCTCAAACTGAGGTAATAGTCTCAGGTCTTGGAAAATCAGTCAAAAACCCAGATTTCAACAAAATTTTATTCAACAGTTAAATTAAAATACACTAGTTTACAAGAGATTGGATCAAACACATATTTCTGTGAACAGAAAATGTTAAAAAAGAAACCAGCCTTCTCTCCTTCCTTACAATCTTAAATACATTGGTAGGTGCTCAACAGGGCCGTCGATATGAATCAAACAAGTTGCGCTTGGAGCACCATGAAACAGCACTTGTGTTATTATTATTGGAAAAATTATTTACCATTAATACGGGAGACCTGAAAACAAATTTTTGCAGCCTTCACTCTTATATTTGTATTTTATTTTCTCTCATTGTTTTCATCTTTCCAAACAGTCTTGATTGGCTTGTGGGAACATGTTTCCCATGTTCTTAATGGATGTCTGTAGTAGCCACATTCAAATCAGAGACACATTGATGGTTCACTTTAGAAACCACACATCCTGTTTGCCAGACTTAAACGTTTCCTACTTAATTCCCCCAAAGAGAAACTGAGGCAATTTAACTGCTTGAAATTTTAACAGAATAATTTTCCAACAGAGATTATTAACAGAATTTTTTGAAAACTGACGTTGATTAGTTTTATTGTTAGAAAATAAAGTATAACAGGAATTTTGCAACATTTCAGACAGAGAAATGTAATTATTTTTTCTTTATTCAACACTAAATCAGTATGGTGAGCTCAATGGCTCTGTAATGGAATATGTGGTTTCTCAGTTCAGCCGTCAATACTGAATTTGGTGAGGAGTAAAGGAGTACAGAGAGAGATGAGAGGTGTATCTGTTCTCTAATTTTTCCTGGTGAAGGCCGTGGTGCTGAACATATTAATATCAAATTCTAGAATTTTCTGATGTAATTTTTTCTGCTTTTTATCAAATATTTCGAATACTAGCATGGTTGGTTCGGAGAAAAACGTGCTTAACTCGAAGATTCCTTCTGAAATTTAACGTGAATCACATGCATAAAGAAGTGAGAGCAACTATATGATTTCAGGCCGATGCTTGTCCTTAGAGAGCACAGTGAACAGTAAATGAAAAAAGTTAAATCAACGAGTAAAAAATGACAAACGAGTGAAAAACAGGAAAAACATATAAAGTCTTTGTATATCATAGTTTAAAGTGATACTGACATTAATATAAGGTGCTTCATCATTTAGCAAGCACAGATATTGTCAATCAAACTAAGAACAAAGAGTTTTGATGGCTTATTCCAAGATTTACTCTTTCTTTGTATTTTATTCTTTTGACAGAAAATTAATGGATACTTCAGAAAATACATTTCATAGAGTAAACAAAAAATTGTGCATAAGTTAAAAAATTAAAACTGTTACCAAAGATTCAAAACATTGCAGATCAAGAAACACATTTTCCTTGTTTCACTTTCGTTTGTTTTTTGACAGCAATGTTTATTTAAGAATGGATTTTGTCTCGTTAGAGGGGATCCAATTTAACACATTTGTTTGATTTAAAAGCTGTAAAGAGGACATGGTTGACAAAATTAGTAAAATTAGTAACAGAAAATAACAGCAACTTTTAAAAGAATAAATATTTTTCTAGAGGGGCTAAAGCATTGGTATAGAGATACTGTTCTCTTGTTTGCTACAGCTGATAAAATTGGTCTTGTATGTACAGTGATTGTACAGCCATATTTTTTGCGGATATTCATGAGGGACTTCAGTCTTGATGAGTCAAGTGTCGAATTTTAGATTATATAATAATAACAACAAATCAAAAAGAAGAGAGCCAGTTGGCAATCATCAGCTGTGCTTGAAATTTTGATTTCTTACACAAAATCGAGTTTTAATCAATTGAGCAACAGAGGGAGGCAACTGTTCAAATAGTCAATTTTTGACAATTTCGTCACTGAGAAAAAGGGGCGAGAGATGGTAAAAAATAAATAAAAACAAAAGAAAACCTCATATATCATGAACAGAAACTTGGAGCCATAGAGATGATTGATTGTCATTTTCATTAATGTTTTAAATCTTTACTTGAAACTAAACTAAACTAAAAAAATCTTCACTTGAAGCCCAGGGTGCAAAAAGGTTACTTCTTGGTTGTGACATTTCAGAGTCTCTACTAATATTTTCTCGATAATAAAGAAAGAGGATGCATGCATTTTAATACAATTTTTACAGAATATTCTCCATGATTTCACAATGTTCTGCAGGAAAAAAATTCAAGAAAAATCTCTTTGTGGATTCTCCTCGAGGACATAGATTATAGCAACAGAGATTCTAAAACACCACAACCAAAAGGGGTCCTTCTCACACTCAGCGCCTCAATTATTTCACATTACGGGCGGGCAGAAATGAAAATATTTGAAACTTGACGAATACAAATCAAAAATCTAAAATAACGACCGAGATTTAATAGTTGAAATTCATAGTGATCGTAAGGACAAAGCTTGACATCAAACTGCAACAACTCGTTTCTTCATTAATTCTTGACAGCCTAAAAGTTAAGCACAATCAACCTGAAAAGTTGTTCGGCTTTCAACAGCGGAAATATGTGCAGGATACTTTGGATGTTAAATGGAAATTTTTACCTTGCACAAAAATGAGAATTTGTGCTAATGCCAACAAACAGAATTTTAAGTGAATGCACCGCCATATACCTACTGATCACAAGGCTTAACAAGAAAACTACGTACAATAATTTACAGTACATACAGACTTTAGTTTCAATATACAAGTATCAAAATTTAAAATACATAGTTACAAGAAAAGGAAGGCAACTTAGTAAAAAATTAAAAAAGGTATCGAGTCTAGTATCAAATCCATTCTGATTTAAATTAGATAAAACTTCCACTTAGGACGAGTTTAATTTCTGTAGTTCTTTTCCTTGATTTGACTTTTGGGGAAAAAAGACAGGGGTGGAAAAATAATTAGTATAATTAAAACTTATTTAGCAAAGTGAGTCAAATTCAGAAATTTCTGAGACAATTTAATAGATTTCATTCTGAAAGGAGAAAAACAAATGTTTTGCAAAAACAAGGAAAGAGTGGAGTACATAAACTAACGCAAACTTAAGGAATAATCTAAAAATCATGACAAAGCAGGCAGGAAAAAAAAAGGTTGCGGAAAGAAGAAAAACCTTTTCAAACAGGTACAAAGTTGCAGTTGCTGTGCAGGGTGATCCAAAAGTCCTACCGCACCTCTATAACCCCAAGGTTCCTTGTTCTTTTTCAGGGTGATCCCCTTTAATTTTTTTTGTGGGGGGGGGGGAGGTCCCAAAAGTAGGTTCCTTTGATACAGGAGCATCAAAAAAATTTCAAGTCTCTTGCCTTAATTCGTTCAAAACTTAGAGTTGGTGGAGATACCAGACTTTTGGATCACCCTATATAATATCTTGATTTACTATTTACAATGACTGTACAGATAGATAAAAATATTCAACTCAGTCCAGGTAGTGAAGCTACGAGAGGAATCATTCGATTACTAATCTCAAATTAAATTAATCTTTGGCATTGTGATTGGTCCTGGGAGCACTCAAACACATGTGGGCTTCATTGCTTTAGTGACTTCCCTCATTTTCCTCAGACTAAAAATGAACAGAACATTTAAGCAATCAGAGATGATTCTTAGTTTTTGAAATTTGCAAACTGACAAAGACTTTTACTTGAATCCTCAAAATGCGCTATTCAATTGCGTATACCTATGTAATTTGGCTGATTTTTGCATTCAAATCCAACCGAAGTGGGATGGAGAACACTAAATAGCCAAAGCATCAAAATTTACATAAATTTACAAATAAATAACAATAATTAACTTTTTGACCTAGTTTTGATTTTTAAAAATCACAAAAAAAACGAGGAAGTTAGAAGAAAATAGTACTTAATGAGAGGGGAGTAGAGCAGAAGTATCACCGAAAAATCAAAAGATACAAAACTAATGTTAAAAGCATTCGATAAAAAAGAGTAACAAAATAAGCTTTACACTTTCTCTCACGTTATGATATTATTCACTACATAACAAAGGCTCAATTTTCATGAAATCGGCAGAAACAGATGTGTTCCGATCGATCAGAAAGAGAAATTGTACCTCGCTCAAAAGGTTAACAAAGTTATTGGGCTTACTCATAAATACATTGAGAAACACACCAAAACACGTATGACTTGATGAAAACCTGTTGAAAGAAAAGATAAGAGACGAGTCCCACAGGTCAAAATAACAGACCATTAGATTAAAACTGTGGCATTTCTAGACATCATCAAAAAGTCCTGTATAGTTAGTTAAAATTTGAAATTTTTTTACAATCAACTTGTGAAACATTAGCTTTTATTCTTTAAATAAAAACAAGTCAATTTAAACTTCTTCCTGGTCGGAAAAAGCAGATTCAACGGAGCCATAAAGAGCCGTTGAAAAGAAACTCATCATTGTGACAAAAACAAAGGCTGTGTATCACAACAGATTCTCCTCCCTCTGATGCAGTACATTTGAAAACTTATATAAGACAATTTTACATATTTATGCTAAAAGGAACTATGTTGCACCCAAATACTTTTAGCGAATAAACGTCCAATTCATCTCACTGAGGAAATTATTTATTTTAGAAGCAAATTACATTGGTTCATCTCAAAAAGTGCCCATTTCAATTTGAGTAGATTTTAGATTGAGTAGTTTTTCGGCCAGCAAGAAGTTTGAATTAAAGATCGTAAGATATCTCATGTCTCACATGCAAGTGAAAGTCAAATCAAAAATTTTGATTAGTTTCTTCACTTTTTTTCGATTGAAGATTTGATGAGAAATATGAGGGCAATGTTAGGAAAAGACTTTCTTAGCAGGTGGAAAAAAAAACCGTAAAATTTATGCAAACAAATCTCAATATCCACAAATTAGAAAACCTTTTTTTCATGCATTTTGAGGTGAAAAAAATATTTGGATTTTTCATTATCTTTTAATCATTCATGATTAAAGTGTTGCTTTAAACTGAACGGTAAATTCAAGAAGAAAAGCAAGAGTCATTTGGCTTTACGGTTGAATTGAAATAATTTCCACCAAATGTGATAACTTGAGAGGGATACCATATTAAGATAAAAATAATGAGTCATTCATGTAGAATACAATATTTGTTTAACTTAACTCAAAACAAGAGAAAACACGAACTTACTACGCACCCTCTGAACTCTAAATGCATGAGAAAAAGTTTTTTTTTGTTCGTAAATTTGAACAGATTCCTTTGAGTTATTGTATTTTATTTGATCTTATGAATTTATTCCTCGCCCTCAATTCTTTCACAGGTTCTCTACAAAGTTTTAAAGAATCAATACTGCTACAGTAGCCATTGAAGTTACCATTACAATTTCTCAATTGCGTGCTTATGGTTCAATGCTTTCTTGACTAGTTGTTCTGGTTGGTTAATGAGGCTGCCTTGTAATTGATGGGTCCGTAGGATCGATAATCGACATCTGCGTAGTCTAGATCAGTGAGTTCAGGCTTGAATGGCTGCAATACACGAGAAATTTCAATATTAAACGAATGGATGAGATAAGTTTCATGACAGCAAAAACGAAGCCTCTGCGATGGATTTTCCTCTGTCAGTGTCAAATTTTGAACTTAGCTAGAGTCCTTTTAAACCCAGAGTTGTGCAATCTCAGACTTCGAATGTTGCGAACTGGCTGGAAGATTCTATAGTTAGTGAAATCTTTTGTAATCTTTGGTAAATTCATAACCTGATTCCTCTCGTAAATTCATTATCTCATTTCGTTCATTTCAGTGATACGAATGAATATATCAATGACCAAATTGCAAAACCGCTCAACTCCGTTTGCAACTTTGTAAACTTCGTGTCGTTCTTAATTTTTTCTATGAAGAACTACTCGACGATTAATTTCTTGAAAACTTCTTTGATATTTATTCTCTGTTAGCAGAATATTCTGCACAAGTTCCAAGCTATGAAGTTGGCTTGTTTCTCTTCAAAGAAATAGAGAATTAGCGGACATTTTGAGACATCAAGATGGAGATACAAGATTTGGCACTTCCGCCATTGATATGCTATTCGCTCAGAAACTTGCTGAAAAGATTTCCTGCCTTCCAATAATAAGATACCACTGGAGTTTCAAGAGGATATCTCAAATGGATTAGAGGTTACAATTTTTTTTTTCTGTACTTGGAAATTGACTTTTCATTCATTTTCAAGCAAACGGCTAATACATGTGGTATGTGACAGCTCAGAAATCCATTAAAATCTCAGCAATTTTACTTGAAAAATCAGCAATAAGCTGACGATTTTTTCATTATATTTAAACTAAATATATTACCATAATTCCACTGATAGTATCAATGAAAATTGTCATTGGTGAAGTAGTAATTTTATAGTGATAAATGGAAATAAATTGCGATGTACCCCTATTCTTGGTTCTAATAATATGGCGATGAATTGGCATTCATAGAAATGCAGTAAAGTAATGCTTGCCCTGCAACTTTTTGCCATAATCACTACTTGAGGATAGAAGACAATTCAGAAAACGTACCTCAAACGTCAATTTCTTTGCCGACATCATGAAATTTGATGGCAGTGTACTCCATATGATACATCGGGATTGACTGCAATGACTTGACGCGATGCCTGGACAAGGCCAGGTCTGCGTAAACAATGGAGCCATTATGATAGGGTGGAGGCGGGGGTGTATTTAAATAACTAGGTAGAAGCAGAGATTCGTCTCGACTTGAGCTATGCTTGAGACTTCGCTGAGATTTGGGCTTTTTCAGCGATGAGATTTGCCGCCCGTTTGTTAGACTATGAGGTAAATTAGGCCTTTGCATATCTAGAGTTGAGTGAGAGTTTAGTTTGTGATGTAAAGCCTGCAAAACGCAAACACATGCTGTTAGGGTAAGTAGCGTAAAAGGCAAAAGCTGTAATTCGCTGTGTAAGAAAAAACGCCAAATGAACATTCAAGAGTTGCCAAACTTCCTCTGATAAAATTTTAATTTGGAGGAGCATTAAGATTATTTTCTCTTGAAATTTTCGAATAAATTAGATCTTATTGCAGATCAAAGTCTCTAAAAAACTGGAGGGAAAATATTCGCAGAGCTCCCTGAAGAGTAGTATCTTAACAGAGGAAAATTGGCAACAGCTATAAGCTCATACGGCGTTTTTCCTATGTTTGGCAGCATACAAACCTCATTGTGTACTTTATGAGTTATTCTGAATTAGATACTGGTGGCTCTTTTCTGTTGTAAGTTAGGGATAAAAACAAACTTAAAAAGTGAACATCATAATCATAAAAATCACAAAAAATTAGAATACACAGTCTATGCCTCTTATCACTTCAAGCATGATGGTAATAGTCAAAATAAATAAAAAAATAAGCTCAGTTAAAAAAGCACTCACTGACTGGGTAATTTAAATTACGGTTTCTCTAGATGAATTTAAAAGGTCAGCAAATGACTGAGCTCAAATCGTCTGTAGCCGCCAAGCTGATGACTTAACAAGATGTCTGCAACAATTTCATGTTGAATTTTCCTGATATTTTAAAGGGAGCTTCCTAAATGATTCACGGCAGATCTATGTCTGCGCCTTGATATCTTTAAATGTATTTGGACGTTTTAATAGGCCAGCAAAATTTTCACTGAAGAAGCTTTAGTTTTGAGACCAACTGTAAGAGAAATACCCCGGTTGCACTAGACTTCTAAGAAGGGGAAAAATTACAGGTATCATTCTAAACAGCTGATTTTTAATAAGTACTAGGGTCATCCAAAAAGTAAGGTTCCCTACCTTTTGAACAAAAAGAGATAAATCAAATCGGTAAAAAAATATATATTAGGCATACTTTAAGCTTTAAAACAAGCCCAATTTTTTAAAATTGGTCTCGGGATTCACGAGAAAACTTAATTTTACTGAGACAACCTCCTGTCTCTGCGTGCCCACCTCCGGAGTCAGGCTGCGCGGAGAGCCGATTACTTCAGACTCGGATATTCACCTCCAAACATCACATCAAAAAAGAATTTGAAGGTGTTAATTGAGTAGGTCTCAACTTACTTTTTGACGTAGTCTCCACATCTTTTTTGACATTTCTGGTATCATAACAGCAGCTTCTTGATACCATCCGCATAAAAGCTCTCGCCTTGGCTCCGGAACCAGTCATTGACAGCGATCTGCACTTCCAAATCAGTTTGCTTTTCGGGAAATTTTCCCCCAACCCTCCATACTCTATCAATTTAGCCTTATGTGACTTTCATCTGTTCCTAAACGGAAAAATTCCCACGATGAAAAGCGATTGCCAATCGATTCAGAGGTAAAGATCACTGTCAATGACTGGTTTTGGAGCTAAGGCGAGAGCTTTTACGTGGACGGCATCAAGAAGCTGCTGTAATGATACCAGAAATGTCAAAAAAGATGTGGAAACTACGTCAAAAAGTAAGTTAAGACCTACTCAATTAACACCTTTAAATTCTTGTTTGATGTGATGTTTGGAGGCAAATACCCGAGTCTGAAATAATCGGCTCTCCGCGCAGCCTGACCCCGGAGGTGGGAACCCAGAGACAGGGGGTTGTCTCAGTAAAATTGAGTTTTCTCGTGAATCCCGGGACCGATTTTCAAAAAATTGGGTTTGTTTTAAAGCTTAAAGTATGCCTAATTTATATTTTTTTACCGATTTGATTTATCTCTTTTCGTTCGGAAGATACAAGGTAGGGAACCTTACTTTTTGGATGACCCTCGTAATTCCCTTATGACTACTTTTTAAAACATTAAAGAACCAATTAACCCTAGTAGCATTAGCTACTTAAAAAAAAATGGAAAAATGCATACTTTTCAAAAAAAAAAAAAAAAAAACTCTTCAAAAAAAACTGGTAAGATACCCTAGTTAAAAATCGTTTTTGTTCTCTTCTATTCTTGTAAAAATGCCATCTGGCACTTTAACACGTTTCTATCACTTTATTTTAGTACATTACAACAAAAAATTTACAAATTTCATTTTTTTATGTTGCAAATTTTGCAACTTATTTTGTGAGCAGCACCAATATAAAATATTCTTAAATTTTTTCAAAATATTGGCGTCCATTTTTATGCATAACCTTTTTTCAAATGTAAATTTCGCATATTTTACTGAAGAAAGAACAAAAAGGGTATTCTAACTGGTACCTACATTTTAACACTTTTTTTTTAAAAAAATTTTAAAGTCCAAATTTTACAGTCAATGCCCCAATCAAAGTTTCAGTAAGTTTCAGTAAGTAAGTACTTTCTTACTTAAGCAAGTGAATCCATCAGTGAACAAGTGACAAATCTATAATTTTGAAAAAAAAAGAGCTGAAAATTGAGCAATTATATCAATTTTCATGTCTCATAAAAATATTAAATCTAAGTACCAATGCTGAAAATTGAGTTTTGAGGTCAATCTTTCTGCTTAGCTCACCTTAAAGCAAGTTCAAAATCACTGATACTTCAATTATTTTAAAAAGAAAAAGTCACGTGCCCTCTTAACTTACAAGAGGCTTCAAATAATTTCCAAAACGGATAGTGAAAACTAACCTGGTTATGCTCGTTAGAATGCATGGGCTCGATATTACTACTGTTATTTGGCGTGATCGGAATAGGAATATTTTGGTAGGTATGTTTAGTATTGCACCTTTTGGTTTGTTGACTAATTACAGCGCGAGGAGCGGGCACGGGTGGAGCTGGCGGTTTGGGTGGCGCTAACCCACTTGAGCCAGACAGCGGGGCAACGCTTGGGGTTGGAGCTACCGTGGCCGAAACTTTAGCTCCTGAGCCGCTTTTCTCGACATGACTACTTAAACTCTTATCTTTGCTTAAATTATTAGGGGTGCCATTAGCCAAGGCATCTATTTCGGGGTCTTTGAGGGACGGTTTTGAGCAGGACTCTTTGATGGGACGCATGTGTTTGTTTCTACACGTGATCCGCAAAGAGCGGAACTGAGGCCAGTCCAATCTTGAGCGTTTGGTCCGCAGTGAGCTGAATTTATTATCTTCGGATAAGGGAACAGTGGAGTTAGACTGTGCTAAGTGTGGTCCTAGTTGGCTCCGTGTTGACCCATAGCCTGATGAGCCTCCGTACTGGCTCAGTTGGGAGGGTGAGCGGCTGATAGTGCCGGTGGCGGTTGTCAAAGTGTTAGTCTGGCAGGGTTGAAAAAGAAACAAAAAAATTCGAAATCATAAAACAAAACAAAAGCAAAAGATTAAAAAAAATTAAAAAGAACGAAAAAAAAACAAACAAACAAAAAATAGAAAAAATAAAACTGAAACAGAAAGAAGAGTTTAAAAAAATATGATGGGTTACTGAGGTTAAGGGAAAAAGCAAGATGTACTTCTTCGCAGTCGGCAGCTAATTCCTTAGCTTAAGGGTATCAAGTAAACTAAAAAAGTCAGCTCCAAATATTGCTGTCGATGTAATTTCTCCTTTGTTTTGTTTTGATCAATAAGGCACCAAAGTAAAATTCGGAGACCTTCAGACCTGAACTATCCAAAAAAATATGTGCACCAACTCCGTTATTATTAATCAAACAATGAACATTCAGCTGAGAGAAGAATAATATGAACACTCGGTGTATTAAGGGAGAACTCAAAAAATCTATCGGATACACATGGTGGGTTAATTTTTTCAATCGCTCTCATCATGCTTGAAAAGTTAGATCAACTTACGAAATAATTAAAAATTAAAGTCTTGTCTCAAATAGTGAAGGCTCCTAAAAGCAAAAGGAGACCAGTTGTCACGAAGATAATTGATTATAATTGTTCAAGCCAAAAAGTTGCATAATCTGTATAAATAGCTACATTTAAATGGTTTCCAAGAGACCAGAGCCTAACTTATTCAGATTGCTCTTTAGGTACGGTGCAAATTATGACATGTTCTCAAGAAATTTTTTTTAATATTCTCATCTGATGACGAATCCGTTATCTTTAAATTATAAATTTAAAAGCACAAAAAGTACAACGGATAGACATACTTTAATGCTTGTTTAATTTCCACAAAGTAGAAAGAACTTCAGAGACAAAAAAACCTTCAAGAATTTAAGTGAGAAAAAAGAGTTTGAGAAAAATTGGGAGAAAGGAGTCTAATAATGATTTTCAAATACATAAAGTGCAAACTATTTGTTTTCCTCAACTGAGAAAACAACTAGAAAAAAATTACAAAGGAAAAATGATCAATGAGAAGAATAAAGAGAGAGGATAAAAAGATTAATTTTTAGTTACAATCAAAAGTGAGAGCTAGAGCATTCAAATGTTTAGCATTTTCTTCCGTCACAATGTGCGGAATCGTTAAGGGTACAATTACATATTTCAATTAATAAAATAAAAAAAAAAAGGCTGAGCAAACCCAAACACGGATTAGGTTGTGAATGAAGTGGTTGTTTGGAACCGATGAGATTAAAAACAAAACCAGGACTTACTGCGTTTGGAGGCTTTTGTAGGCCATGGAAGGGCAGATTTTCATAGAATGCTTTATCATTATCCGGCGATAGCAGCGCATCACTAGGAGATGAATTTAAATTTGACTTATCGGTAGTACTGGATGGATTCGGACCTGAAAAATAAGAGAGAAACTTTATTAAAAAGCGTGTAAAATATTTACAATATTTCAGTTCTCCAGACTGATTTCATATGAGATTTTAAAGTCATGATGTGCGAAGTCAAATACTTCAAAGTTTCATAAATATTTCTCTAAATATGATTTTCTTGCCTCCTACCTCCTGCCTTTGCCTATTTTTCATTTATTTATTCTTTTTCTTTGTGATCATCCATCTAACAAGGGACTTCCGTTCCAAAAAAAACTCAAAAGAGAACTTCATAGTTTAGGTATCACTGTTAAAGGAGTGTTTTAACGAAAATTCATCGAAAAATGCTGTGTTCTTTGATGAGCAATATCTCCATTAATATTGGACTTCAAAACTTGACATTTAAAGAGATCTTAATACAATTTGCTGATCTATGAGCGTAAACCATCAAAACATGTTCCTAAAACTAGTGCAACTGACTCATTCTATCTCCCGTCTTCCAAATTGTCAGATTATGAAGTTATGTCATACCTTACACTCGCACAAAAATTAACTAAACCGGTTCAACAATTATTCTATTAGATACTAGAGAGCATCTGTCGAGAACTCAAAGTTCGATTTTTCTATATAACTTTACAAAGATAACTCTCCTAGAAACTCGCTTCCATGCAACAAGATGCCTTTTTCTGAGAGTGGGTATATTATTAGAACCAATAATGCCTTTAAATCTGTAAAGAAAGAGTTAAGACTGTTCCCCGTTAATCTTCGAAGTTTTTTCTTGCGACAGCAAGTTTTTAAAGGTTTGGTGATCCCTCATTTTTCAAATTTTTGACTTTTTGGGGGTACAAGACATAAAAATGCACGAAACAAGACATTTTTAGCACTTGCATAAAATAAAGAATTTTTCGCACTAAGTCCTATAGAATGAAGTAAATGGACAAGTAGCAGTTTAGCTTCAACATTTCAATGTATTTTCTTCATTTAAGAGACTTGTCCTGAAAGTAGCAATTATGAGCAATGAAATGAGCAATTATACTGTAATTTCATTTATTTCAATTTTAACGTACAGTGAAAAGCAGAAATGTGATTGAGTTAAAAGTTTCAGGGGAGATGCTCCTTACAGACGGGGGGAGAGCGCTGCGGGACTCAGTATCGAGTATTAAAGCACCATGAAAGTTGTTCGAAAAATCACATACTCTCCTCGGAGTTCTGCTGACTCTCCCGGACCAATACTATCCTCCTAACTTTAATATTTTTTTGGTCGCTAGATATCTTCTTTAAATTTAGTTTCAACTAGCAACTTAAATAAATTGATTTTTTCAAGCTGAAATTTCTTTCAATCATTAAATTCTTCTGATGATCATGACTATGAGATGATAAAGAGTTTTTTCATGAGAAAAAACAGCTTTCTATCACATTGTTTTGCTAACACGAAAATTCTATCATGAATTATGATTACTAGTAAAATATTCCATACTTTGAGTAGGTAAACTTCAAATGAGAAGTAGGTACCAGGTACCTCTTCCATTGAAAAAACAGTTTGGGCAATTATGTACATAAAAAAAAGTAGAAAAGAAATATAAAAGAAATGCAATGTACGACACAATTTAAAAAAATATTACGAACATACCTGCTCAGCCATATTACCACAGCTTAAAAGAGAGCTAATTCAATTCCATTCACAGAATTTTGTTATTGAATTTCAGAAAAATATCAATTTTTTTGCCCCCAAAATAAAAAAAAAAAAGCATTAAAGGGTATGTGCCGTTTGACCAACATTATCAGTTTTTTAATGCTTATTTCCAAATGCTTAACAAAATTTGATAGTTTAATTCGGGAATTTTTGATTGATGTTATTTAAAAACCGAGATACCTTTAGAGGATCAACATCTCATTTTTTTCCACACAAAATTTCATTGAACCTTTTCCTTATTTGAAAAGGTTGTTAACAAGCTGCCCAATCGGCTAAAATTACCATGATCACTTACCTGATTTTTTGCGTTTCCTCGAAAGTGGTTGCTTTGGTGAATCGTTCAGCTTCTTAAACGTAACAACTGCATTGACCAAAAAAAAACAACAACAAAAGCATACATATGAGCAAACAATACATGACAAAACCATGCAAAACATGGACAGACATACAGACGAATTAAAAAAATAAAAATAAATGAATAAATAAAAAAATAACGAATACGAGCAACAAAAGCAACAAAGACGGCAAATGCTAAATTAGTAATGACTCAAAAACAACACAACATTCGGTTAAATTTGAAGGGCCACGGAAATCGAAAAAGCATAAATTGCAGAGTATAAATTCCTAACATTATGCAATATTTTACTAAAAAAAAATGTGCTTAGGTTTAACCTTCACGGACTTCTGATGATATTAATGACTGTGACTAGAATTTTCTTCCAAAGAAATGATTTTTTGGGGTTTTGGTTTAAAAGCTCTTATCTCCTAAAATTTAACCTTTGAATACAAGTGCTCAGTATAGATACATACGACTGAAAGCTTTAATATTCTAGTTGATAAACAAATACATGTATTCCAAAAATACTACTGGAATAATACTGTAAGAACTCAGCAGGAAGTTCTTAGGCTTTTCAATATTTACAAGGAGTGGAATGACATACTTCCTTCATTCCGTTTTGACTGCGTCTCTTTTAAATGAAGCTTGGAAGGATTAAAGGTGAATTAAATTCATTTTTACACTCTCTGACAGTATTATTTTTTAACCTGTCTTTTTTTCCTTCGAGGGAGAAGAAATCGATGACCAAAGACAAAACGACGTACCTCCATTGCGGTGTTTCATTTCCGCTCTTAGTTTATTTTTTGGTAAAGGAACAAGCCAACTTTATTGCTTGAAATTTGTACAGAATATTTTGCTAACAGAGAAGAATATTCGAGGAAATTTTCAAGAAAATATACAGTCTAGTTTTTTAATGATAAAATAAACTATGACTCTAAGTTTGCAATGTCGCAAACAGAGATATGTGGTTTTGCACTTTTCGAAACTTTGAAACCATAGAAGCTTTTTTTAGAAAGAGTTAGGAGACTCACCTCCAGAGGCGTTCTGGAAAACGCCGGGAAATGTATCAGTGTTAAACATATGTTTTATCCGGTTGGCACGGCTGTGCTGATTCTCACCGCTAAGGTCTGCCAAGCTGCTAGCGCGGGTTTGTCTCCGCCGTTGTTTCTCCAAGCCAGGCCTCCCATTATTGTTCGGCTCTGGAGCCTGGACAGAGTTTCGAGAGTTGGCGCTACTGTTGAGCGCAAGCGAGGAAGCTGACGGCAGGCGCCCTACGCTCAGACTATGTGGCGCTTTGGTGTGCACCAAAACGCCAGGCCTCAGTGGCCACTTGGGTGAGACCAGAATTGGCGGGGGGGCTGAGTTACCTTCGGGACTAAATAACGAGGATAATTAGCCGAGGGTTGATGCAATCTAGGGCTAGAGTCCTCTCAAGGCCTTGTGTTTTGATGTGTTACCTCTTTCGAGCTGGATAAACTGAGGGGATCATGGTGCACGAAAAAAGTTTTCCATCTCATAAATTATTGCCACTACTCAAATATTGAAAAAACAGGGGGTAGTGACTACTTCTGTGCTAAGGAAAAACATCATATGTTGCCAAAGTGCCCCTCAAACAATATTTTTTCAAAAAAAAATTTCTAGCTCGCCAAAATTTCAGTTTAGCTTTTTTAAAAAAAATTTCTAGCTCGCCAAAATTTCAGTTTAGTATAAGTCAGGTGGAATGAAAGCACGAGCGATGGACTGATCCGACAATAAAACGTAACCATCAAAACACTGTGCGCATGAAGGAACTTTATATATTGGTGAATTACTCGTAAATGAATAAAAAAGCAATCTTCTAATCCCATCTCCCGAAAATAAAAGGCGTGCATATGAAATTTAATTTTTTTTCTTTCTGTGGAGAAACAAGTGCGGAAAACAACATACTTATACTGTAAAATTCTGTTAAAAATAAATTAGGATACAATGACAAGAATGCTTAGTTGCAAAAGAACACCTCAAATTAGAAAAAAGTAAAACAAATCAAGGAAATTCAAACATAGAAAATACGCCTGACAAAAAGATATAAAGTAGGGAGATAAGACAGCGTAGCAAGCAAACCACAACACGTCAGCAGAAGAGTTGTTGAAACATCAAACTGCAGAGATGGAAATAATAGACAGTGATACCATTCCATGCGTAGTTATGCATGCACCTCCGTGACTGAGAGGTGATTATTGGGTAAATTTTCACACAATGCATGACTAAGAGGCGTGCACTCGCAATCACAAATGGTTTTCTCATGTTTAGCCTGAATTTTGCTGAAATTGCCAGCTTACGAGTATTTATATTCTTTTCGAAAAGCAAAATTTTCATTTGAAACGTGTTTATTTATGACTGTATGAATGACAGCACCGGGGTTAAACCAACAAATAATTGAAGAAAGGTTGTTGCTTTTGTTCAGTAATTTTGCTTCAGCAAGAAAATCTTACTTCTAGGTTGGATTGATAATCCTTACAAAATAAGCAATTATTTGAATCAAACGTCAAAAATACATTTACAGCGTCCTACTGTGCACACATTTTCATCTTTCAATAAATATTTGGGAAACCAAAACACATTATTTTTAGTCTTACCTACATAAAGAGCTCAAAGCATGCAGTTTTAAAAAAATTAAATATTACTTCTACCTATAGTAAGTTAAAGGATGTACTTGACTCATTGACATGAGAAGCATGGAAATTGTGCGGAAACAGATAGTAGGAGAAAAAATTGGTCATAGCAAAGATTATTTTTTGCTTATTAAACCCGAAGCTAAAACAAAATCGACGCCAGTGAAATGCCATAAAAATTTGTTTGTTTGAAGGAAGTGCCCTAGAGAATGTAAAATGAACTAAAGGCACAGTTTAAGAATTGACTTGAGATCATATCATACTCTATAATATAAAATCATAAGAGTGATGCGTGACGCATAACACCTGAGGCGCTAAGCGCTGTAGGGGTTGGACCGTAAAGCTGTTAGTTAAGTAATCAAAAAGCTAGTTGTTTTAAAATTCACCTGAAGAATGGCATGTCTTTGTATAAATTTAAAGATTTGTTTTGCGAAACTTTGCTTAAGAAGTTACAGGGAGCTTGGTACTAGTACTCAGCTCAAAAATTTTAAGGTGCACCTCAAAATTCCAACATGAGTGGTGGAAAATTGCTGTCACAATCTCATAAAATGTAAAAATTATCTCTTCAGCCTGAATTTATTGAGGGAATAAAATGGGGAGGTCTTTAAAGTAGAAAAGCAAGACATGAACCAATAGATGCAAAGGAGGCATAAAGGAGATGCGTATGAAACTTACTTTGGAGAATAGATGTTATATTTGCCAAGGCTGCGTTTGAAATAAAATAGTATTTGAATAGTTATCAATGTTGGAAGATGGATAACATGAAGAAAAGCGCAAAAAAAAAAAAAATGAAATCAATATACCATGAGATATGAATCAATACTGTTGATCTTGAAATTACAAAAAAACGGAATGATTACTGACTTTGAGAACTGGGCTATGCAAATTACCATTGAATAATTATGTATTACAGGTGGAAAATTTAAGCTTAAACCAAATAGTTATGACGCAAATGAAATGAAAGTTATAGGTTCTCATTTGATGAACAAGTCTACAAGGCAGCCAATAGAACAGCACTTTTTACACACTAAGTATGACAACTCTTAAAAGATGGCTGCACCTTCCATTGCTCCTCCTATTGGTCTCTCCTTCATTTTTATCAGCATAATATTTCTTTACAAGGGCCAAAATTTTCTATAACAATAGTACATATAAAGAACTGAAAAGTGGAGGAAAAACAGAACTTGCTCATCAAGTTGAGCCCATTTTACTTGCCCACTTCGTACACCTACGCACTCAATTGTTCAGTCAAAATCTACTTCTTTTTTCCAACTTTCACTGGAAAGCATATTTTTTTTTTTTTTTTTTTTTTTTTTTTTTTTTTTTTTTTTTTTTTTATCATTGAACGAAATATATTCTACCAATGTTCAGGATGCATAGTTATTTTTATTGGAGAGAAATGAACTGCCTATCAGCAGTATCCAAGAATGGGGCTTCATGAAAGCAAATATTCAAGTGAGCATCTCATGGTGAAGTATTTTTAAAAAGATACAGACACATGCTCAGAAAATGACAGTATTGCCTGATCTTGAGAGAAAATACAGAGGCAGAAGATAAAACCATTTTCCTTCTACTGCAGAAGACGAAATCATTTTCCCTCTACTGTATACATTAGATTCCACCAAAGTCATTGATGAATATTAGAACTGAAATAGAGAGTTGTGTGCGAGGACATGGAGGCAGAGTGCTGACTGTTGAAAATGAAGCTGCGCTGATCTCAGAAAAACCCGCTACTGAGAACGAGAACTAAACCCAATTAGCAAAATACCTTCATGAAATTCCAATGATAAACAAATAAATTAAAACTGAAATCTTGCCATTTTTGATTTTGTTGAACTTTTAAATTATTTCTCAAACAACACAGCAACTGACTCATATTTTTCCAGTTAAGAAACTTCTGATAGAATAACAATGTATATTTTGGGAGACATGAGCTACTATCATGTTCACATATTTAGCTGCTGAATGTATATTAGTGGAGTTGGATGTATTTCCATTTCACTGGAGCTTTGATGCAATTTTGAAAATAGAAAATTGTGGGCCAATATTTTCGTAAAACAGCTTTCCTTGGGTCTTGGTGGATGAAATGACATACAGCCACTTAAAATCAAGGATACTGCAAATGGGTTTCTTCGCTCATTGACATGCTAACAAGGGTTTCATTCCACCCTTCATTTACGGAATTTCGGCACTCGGCCTTCATGGCCTTGGTTGTAAACTCATTTTTGATGACACAGAAAGGAAGAAATTCATGATTTTAATCGCAAGCCTCATCCAAAAATGAATTTTGAAATTATTTCTGATTTCTCAGCTAAATTGAGCGTTTTCTCCCCTCAGGTCGTAAAATTGTTTTTACTTTTTTCTATCTCTTGCTTTACAGTCCTACAAACCAGGCAGAGCCCAGTTGCTACTTGAACCACACATACCATGCTCTAGGCTTTCATATTTTCAGGGATTAGGGCTGAAAGGAGTCTGTTTCTGCAGATGCACCTGTCAGCTCCTGGTAAATTTGTTGCCACAACTGGGATTCGAACCTGCAACCTATTGAGTACTGACCTAGAGTGACCACTAGGACAAATACATGAACTGCAATTTTCCATAAAGGAGAATCTCTCTATGAAATGTACAATACCTTCTTTCAACCTACTAAAGTACATTTTTGGATGAGAAACAATCCCACAGACATCTGGTTAGAAGAAAGGTAGGGTCTGGCGACATGCATATACCCAAACGAGAAAGGATTAAAAATGAATACGCAAAATCAATTTAAACTTACTTCTGCCTATCCTCCATTTCCACTGGGTTATTATCTGTACACGGAAAATAAGGGAAGAGACATTAATTTAATGTGTTAGTGGAGGTAATAAGCAAAATCAAATCAAACTTTAAGACTGAACAGGTAGCGGGTTATTAGATTGAAAATCTGAGCATTCTCTTGGCTCAATTTTTCGGGCAATCTTCTGATTAAATTGCATTATTTTTCCTCAACTTTGAACCTTCAAACTAAAGAGATGACAGACATAATGAACCCGACTCTGAAATTGAGATGTACCAATTGTGAGGATTTCTTCAGTTTTTTTCTTCTGCTTTCTTCTATCATTATCAACTTTGTATGTATATACAATGAGCATTTGTCGTTCTCAATCAATAGATAGAAAAATTCAAGCACTTTCAGGACCTTGAAAAATATTCAAAATCAAACATTTTTCAATCACTTTTGAAGAACGCATGAACCAAGTTCACTCGCGAGTCTAAAATCCTAGCTTGTCATGTCGATTTCAGCCAACGTAATGTTGAGTGAAAATATGATACAATATGTGTTGAGTTAGATACATTAGACGAAACATGATAAGAGGAAACTTCACATGGAGTAAATGAATATTAGAAAGCATCAAACTCAAATAAAGCTTGCTATCATGATGCATCGAGAGGGACACATGGACTCCGATGTCAGAGCAAGCCGTAAGATTATGACAAATGCGAACTCAAGGAGCAAAATCAATGAAATGCGAAAAAAAAGTAGAAGAAGCAAAGCATTTCTAAATGAAAGAAAAACCGATGGCACAAATATAACTACGCAATCGAAGCAAAAACCACAAACGTGACATTAGAGTGGTTCTGATACTTTGTTTTCAGGATTCTCAAAAATTAGGAGCAACAAAATTAAACCAGAGCTAGCCCAACTGTGTTATACGTTGTCTAACTTTCTCTCATGTTTTATTTTTTCAACAGAAAACTAAATGAAGTTTCACCTTCAAACTTCGGGAGTAAAGTTTTCTTAGTCTAGGGAAACTTCTCAGAGACTTTAGACTCTCAGTAGACAATTTTAAAATATCTAAGTATACCTCATCTCAAATTTCACTTGATAGCTGTACAAACAAAAAATTCTGCCGTATCACAAAAAAAAGCTGTAAGTTTATTCTGAGATAACCCTCAAAAAGCCATTAAAGCAAGTGCTAACCATGGCTCACCATAGAAATGCACTTGAGGCTCTCTTCCATAACACGGCAGAATTGTGTGCTTCTTCTTTGCTTCAGATGAGAATATTTTCCCATTTTCTTTATTCCTAAACTCCCTCCAACAATAAGCACAGTAAATAAGTGTTAATCAAAATTATACAATATCAAAAGTAACACATTGCAGGCAATTACTGCTAGATGCTTATGCATACATAAAAAAATAAATTACCTTTGAGAGTAGCATGGCCAAAAGTTGATAGAGATCAACTTAATCCGATAAACTAGAGCATTTGGCAGGACAAAATTCATGGAAAACAAAAAGCTTGTCTCCTAGCTTGTCTAGGATAAGACGGACAAAAAAGTCCAAGGGATGGCAAGAAGTAAATATACAAAACAAAATAATGGTTTACTTACATTTATTCGAATGTCTCTTACGTCGACAAACTATGATGATCACAACACAGATGATGAGTACCATCAGTATGGCACTGATTATTATTGCTAAAAGTATCAACATTTTTTCTTGTTCTAAGGCTCGCCACCAGGCCGTGCTCCCTGTAAAAAATCAGACCTTGTTAGAATACAGCAATAATAAAAAAATGAAATTACAGCTGAACATGAACAATATGAGGCGGAAATCATACTCACTTATCCAATTCTAATGCATACTGAATAGTTATTTGTATTGAAACTTAAGACTTCATGATAATGCCTTCAAAAAATTTTCAATGGCTGTGATTAATACTATTGTATTTTCTCCTCATACTAAGCTGAGTCTTGAGCATTTAAGTTTTCAAAATGAAAATGCCCCCTCTCTCCTTTGTTTCTGTATACTATTTGTTTGTCTTGCCATCTTCATTTTTATTGTATTTAGGGTTCAATGATTGCTTGAATGTTTTGTACATCTACCTCAAGTTCTGAATTCCCTAGAAAAAATGACGGCAAAGTACATTTCATTTTATTATTACTTTATTTTGTTCAGTTTCTCTTGGTTTTTTGTTCTAATTTCCTATCTTTGTTGTTTTATCCATGCCTCTCTTCTGATAGTAGTTTTTGACCCTGTTTTACCATCTATTAAGAATAATGATCTGATGATGATGATGTGAATGTCAGCCAAATAGTTTTGGTTTTAATACTTCTCAGAGTGATCAGGAAACAAAGTAGCATTGCAGTATTATCGTTGTCTTCCATACAAAGGAACATATCCCGATTGCAAAGTCTTGGTATTCATTATTTACATTTTATTTTTTTTTAAAAGAACCGTCACTAGAGTTTGCTAGATATTTCCACTGATTTTACTTTACATTTGTAAAAGGAGACAAAAAAAATTTCAGACGTTCCTCTTCGGAAAAAATAAAATGTTTATAGTAATACAAAAACAGCGCAGACAAGATACATTTCTTCGTATGGAGGACGACATTCTGTATTCTGATAAAGATGACGGAGAAAATATCAACTAACAAGGCTTTTCAAGAAAAAATTACAGGAATATTAGCAGCACTTTAACAATTCTAGCGCAAAGAGAGGAAAAAATCAAAGCAGTCTACAAAAATATTAGAATGGACACAATAAAAGCTATTACAACTATAGCTAAATTTTGGTTAACATCCAACAAACAAATTCCAATCTGAAAACGAACAGGAAAGAAAAATCGCTACTGAAGAGTAGTTCCTTACAATCTATGCGCCCTCTTACATTATTAAGTTTGATGACTAATGAAAGACGTACGACCTCTTTCTGCAGAAGTAAAAAAAAAAGTGCTGCGGTAAAAAGAGGATCTTGCTGGTTTGAAAACCTATCAAGCAGGGATGGAATTTACAGCTGCATATTAGAACTTAAACTCATCTGATATTTCAATCTAGCCTATAAAAAGGTTATCTTTTTGTATAAAAATCAAAAAGAATTTGAAATACGGAGTAAATTCTAAAAACACAGTTATGAAACGAAGACAAGGAGTTAAATTGTTTCCTAAATCATTTCGGCAGCCTGGAAGTCTGCAGCCCGTCACAGAGAAGCATCACAATTCTTTCCCTACAAAACAGAGGTGTACCACCTTTAGACGTTCAAATAGAAATAATTTTTTGTAGCATTTTGCCTATTAGACATCCCCTTGGCTCTAAATCAATTCGGTTTTGGGTCCAAAAAGCACGACTGAGCGAGGATATTAAAATGATTTTGCGATAATACTGCAACAGTATTCCATCATTCGGTTGATAAATGCCAATTTAAAACGATCAATGAAATGAGTTCCATGTGGGAGAAAGCAGGGTGGTAGAACGATTGCAACTTTTTCCAATTTAAATGCGATAAATTACAAAAAGAGGAGCAGGAGCCCCTTCAATTGGTGGGTAGTCAACAAATAAACACTTCAATATAATAGCAATAATTTTACCTTGTACCTAGTAACAATATATTACTACCTGTACTACTTAAGGATGAGGAAGGAGATTTTAGGATGAGCTAGGATAGGCTGTAACAGCTCTCTCTCTCTCTTCTCATGTGTGTCGTAATACGACAATCTGGTTCTAAAAGCTCAGGATGAACAAAACATGATTAGCACATGAAAACAGCAAGCTCTCTAGAACGCTGACAGAACATTCAAGAATCCTACCTGCGTCAAGAAATTTACTACTTTTTTCCTCGTGAGCTAAAAAAAATCATTTCAAATTCAGTTTAATTGGAACAAAGGTTAGGGCTGCGGCTAGCAGAAAGCTCGTATTGTGGTGTTAAGACATTCCGACATTTCACACTATCATTCTTTCAAAAAAAATTTGGGACTTGAAAATACTGATTAGTTTCGGTGTTAGTTGCATGCTGAATTTCTTGTATCAATTTTTAGCTTTGTTTCCAGTTCAAAATTAAGCCCAAAACGTCCTGGCTGTTTTTTTTTTTTTTACTTTAGTAATCTTTTCGTATACACTTTTGAAGGGTTGTTTCTTGTACTTTATTGTTAAATCGTGCTATTATTATGCTTCTCTTATCATTTAAAATTACTTGGAGTCAGTTTAAGGACTTTACAAGCACAGCATTTTGGAAGAATTAATATGCTTTGCAGGCAAATTATTGGTTCATTTGCACGATAAAGGAATAATATAGGGAATAATATCAGGGATAAGAAGCAAAATCAAAAGTAAAAAATCTCATTTAAAAAAAAAAATGGCATTTTCTGAATCTATTTCAATATATGACGCATGAATCACGCCAGAAATGGAGGAAAGTTGGGGTTTTCCCGATTTTGAACCGATATAAATTAGGGCGCTAGGTGCAAGAGGGCCACAGCACAGTTGCGGTATTTCAGCATCTCTGCTAATATTTCATGAGGAAGATGAATGGATGCATTTCACTAAAACTTAAATGAATAATTATTGTGATTCAATGATTTTCTGGGGAGAAAAATCTGGAAAAATTACCAATTTCTTCTTTTACACATGAATTAGCAACGAATATTCTAGAAAAACCTAACTGAAACAAGCCCTTCTTGAACCCAGAACCTTAATTTTAGTGAAACAAATCAGTCTCTAATAAAACTTCAGGTATTCAATTGGTTTGTTGAAAATTTTCCAATAATTTTTCTCGGTACAGTAGAAAGCAAATTTGTTGGTTCTTGTTAGATTCTTCCAAAATTTAATGAAAACAGGTACGTTCATAGGCTAAAGAAACAAATAAAAAATTCAAAACCAGTGAGAGACTTACCAGAAACATCTACTTCACAAGGTATTGTTAACATCCCTACGGAGTTGTTAACATAGCATAAATAAGTTCTAAAATTTTCTACTCGAGTTTCCAGGGTTAAAATGCTTTGTAATCCCTTTTTCTCAACATTCTCACTAATAGATTCGTTCTCGTTCTTTATCTTCCATGTGAAGTCCACCTCCGAAGGATTCGCATGAGCATTGCAATATAAAACTACCTTCCCGTCAACTTCACTTTTGAAAATATCACATTCCGGTTTGTCTGCAAAAAGACCAAAAAAATATAACTGTTAAAAAATTAGGAGTACATATTACATCCTCTCCTAAATGATATTTTAGAGAATAAGTTGTGAATTTTCCTTTGTTTTTCTGCTGATTAGAGAAATTGAATTAGTGAGTTCGAAAACACACCAACTCCGAAAAAAAAAATTGTTCGGGAAACACCAAAAACTTCGCAGCGAAGTTAGGTCAAGAAAAACCTGTTTCGTGCCAAAAGACAAGTACTCAGAGACTTTGTAAAGCACCAAGTTGAAATCCATACACCATGTTTGATGACAGAGAATTAAGCGTTTAAAAATTTCTGAGTTGGTGTGTTTTCGTTCTCACCGACTTTCAGATACTGATTCTTCATAGTCTGCCCTGAAAAATTTATATTTTTCGACCTGAATAACGTTTGAATATTAATATAACTTGTTGGCACAAGGTATGCTGAACCGAAAAAAGAAAACCGCAAAATCGGATGGTCACCCATTCCCCTTGAAACGGCCAAAAATTGGTATTTCCAATGAAATACTTCGATTCTTCCCATTTCCCGTTGCTGTTTCGAGCACTTCCGATTGCAACTTCGAAATGTCCTTTTGAGTGCAGATGCTTCTATCAATAAGTGTTACTAAACCGTAAAAAAGTGAAAATCGAAAAAAACTCAAGTTGGTGCGTTTTCAAACTCACTGATTCAATTAAGTGACATCGTTAGACTAAAATAGTTTATAATTTTAGGTACTTATTTATCAAAGCTAATTTCTTCTGAAAACAAATTTCAAACAATCTAAATCTGTGTTAAAACAATTTGGTTTCATATATTTGAGTATTTTTGGGGCAATATGTTTGTAGAACATATTTAAACCAGATGCCTTGATAGCTCAAATTAATGTTTCTAGCAGTAAGGTCCTACTGCCGGTGGACGTTTCGACCACATTTTGCATTCTTTCTAACTCATATGAAAGCACCTATCTGCATAGGGAAGCTAATCATAGACACATTGTTTCTAAATTGAGTCAAAAATGCTAGATCCTTCATGAAAAATGTTATCTAGTTACAAATATATGTAGATCGTAAAAGATACGGACAAGAATAAAAATGGAAAAAATCATGCTAAATCATGGTAGAAAGGAGATAGGTTGTGCTTACACATAACATTAACATAAGTTTTAATAGTATTATTTCCGTGTCTGTTGTAGGCTTCACAAATATAGTTGCCGCCATCTTTCTTTGCGATTGCGTAGTTCAAAATGAGCGCATTGCCTTTCATGACAATGCTTGAGGGTTCAGTCTCTCGTTTCCAATGATATGATGCTTCAGGGTATGCTTTAGCATTGCAAACTACTTTTTCAGGCACATTCCCTTCGATCACATTCACAACTCTATTTGAAACCGTCAAATTGTCGGGAGGATCTGAAAATGAAGAATGACATTAAGTATACAGAGCAAAGGACAAATGAAATAAGGATTTGAAAAAAGTCTCAAGGAGCAGAAAAGTTGAATGAATGAGAGTATGAGGGGTTTCCCATTGTAGTGAATTTGGAAGCAATCAAAAATTCTACCATCAGAATTTTTTAGAATCCTGACGAGACCTTACAAATTTTTCCCAAATGGAACAAGTGATTGGCAAGTTCAGAAATTCCTAAAGAAAAAGTGCTAAAATGCAAAACATCACAGTAATATCTAGAATCTAAAAATAATGATTGCAATAAAATAATATGATGACTAGGTCGAAATTTTCAGGGCCCTTTCAAATTTCCTGATGGGAGAGTAGAAACTTCCTGACCACGCAACGGGGAAATTTGGGGAAGTTGTCAAATTTTATCTGAAAACTTATATGAGTACAGCTATTTGGCTGTGGAAAAGTCCAACTTTGGGGGTGAGAAGGTTGTCTTTATTTCTCTTTTTTTCCTTTTGCCTTTAGGAATTTAGGTTAAAAATGTGAGACGGCTTAGAACTTTCGGCCCCCTGTTCCGTACCCTGCATATTTCTGTATGAATGAGCTACTTTTGTACCTCTCACTTTTAAGCAGGTAAAGAACTTTTGGAAGAGATAGTGTACTGTGATGAGGAAACGAGGTAATGTGCTCTAAAGATCACTCTGGAAAGAAAAACTAAAACTTTCTTAAAATTTCAGTCCTATTTGAGACAAGAGGAGTCTCTAGAAGAGGAGGGCACTTCCTGCCAACCTTTTAAACTTAAAATTAGTAGCATATTAATCATTTCCTGACTCTTAACACTATATTTTTGCAAAAAAATTCCCCAACTTTAAAATAATGATTTCTTGGATGATGGGGGATGAGGAATCCCTTCATCCAACCAACACAAGAATCTTAAAAACCGATGCTGCAGACCCTAACATATTAAATTCAATCATGGTGAAAAAAGTGAACTCAAGGCACTTACACTCGATGCCAAAAAACGTTGTACTTTTTACGCCGACTCCAACTGAGTTCCCTGTTGACTGGCATGTGTAATTGACATTATCGTAAATTGGATCCAACTGACCGCCGGGCCATGCCGTCATGTTCCAAATGAGCACCGAATGAGTGGACTCAAAATCATTAGACCTGGGTTCCGCTTCCATCTCGGTATTCTTGATTATATACCTGCAGCAGAGGAAAAATTAATCGGTAATATTGTTCAATTTTAATGGTGATGGATAAAATTTAAAGATAAAAATTAATTATAAGTTAAATTTTAAAAAAAAAATGATTAAAAAGAGATTTTAAAATGACTGGTGAGAAGGATAATCAATGAAAAATAGGATCTATAGATAAATGTTAATTAATATTGCTGTGGCATAGTTAGTTCAGCTTCAAGAATAAAAATCAGGCACTTATCGCAAGTTCTTGTGAAGAATTTTCATGCAATTTTCAGGACCTTTTGTGAAATTTCTTCCTTAGCCAGCGATTACAAAGTAGTTAATTATCTCATTCTCTCACTTTCTGTGACTTAAGTGGGTCAGTGGCACACACTCTTTTCATTTCATTTTCTGAGAGTATGGAGTGAATCTATGGTGATTCCATTATTTAATTAGTTATAGGTAGGACATTTTTCAAACACTTTTCAAGGCTACAATGAGTGATGCATGAACGCGTTCTTCACTCAGAGTGTCCTTAATACAAATTCACCTCAATTTATTCAATAACACATATTTCTCAATTGCCCTCAATTGCTCCTATGCATGTTATACACTATACAAATTTGGTTTCCTTGTCACTTTTGTGCTCTTGACATCCCTTTAAGAAAATTTTGTGGAGATATGCCCCTGGTATTGCCGATATTAACGGTTGGTATTGAGTACAAATCTACTATCGATACAGAACTAAGAAGAAGAAAGAAAAAAAAATTGATTCAATATCTCTAGAGATAAATGTATCGATACAGACAATATATCGACACTGAAATATCAATACGATAGTATCGATATCACTATATGAGGGAGAGAGCCTCAGAAAATATACACATGTATGTATGTATGAGCCGCTTTTACGGCGCGCTAGGGCGCTCTGCGACGCCTACTCTCCACAGGAATCTGTCATGATAGAGATCCTCCGGAAGCTGGCATCTCTCCATCTCTTCACGGATGCCCTCTATCCACCGTTTGGCTGGACGCCCTCTCCGTCGCCTACCTGGGGGGACCCACTCCAACACCTTCTTCGGCAACCTAGTATAAGCCATTCTCTGCACATGCCCATACCATACCAATTGCTTGGTCATGATATCGTGCACAATCGTCCTCTCAACGCCCATTTTCTCTTGGACACGTTCATTCCTGACACGTTCTCTCCTCGAGATTCCAGCCGATCTTCGCCAGAAATCCATCTCGGTCGCCTTGAGCATTTCTTGGGTCCGCTTCTTCAACTGCCACACTTCACTGCCATAGGTGATAATGGGCTTGACAGCCAAGTTAAAAATCCTCTTTTTATTGTCCTTGGAAATCCTTTGGTCCCAAAGAATCCCATTAAGCATGGCGATGGCTTTCCTTCCTTGAAGATTACGGTCCCGAATGGCCTGATCCAACTTCCCATCTGAAGTCAGCTTCACCCCCAGGTACTTGTATTGTTCGCAACTTTCAATATGTTGACCATCCTCCAAGGCTATGCTTTGCTGAGCACCCCGGACTGGCATCTTCTTTGTCTTACGGACACTAACCTCGAGGCCCCACTTGCGGTACTCCTCAACCAACTTACAGGTCATATACTCCGCGTCATCGTGATCTTGACTTATGACTACCTGGTCATCAGCAAAGCATAGCGTGAACAGTGTTTCTTGCTCATTCTGAGGGACGCCCATTCCGGCACACTTTCTTTTCCATTCCTTCAGAACGTGCTCTAGATATATCTTAAATAGCGTCGGTGACAGACAACATCCCTGCTTAAGCCCCTTGGTGACAAAAAAACCGTCTGAAAGCCTTCCTTGCCACTTGATTCTGGCAAAAGCCCCTTGATAAAACTGCTTGACTGCCCCAATAAGTCCTTTACTAAAACCAGTTTCTTCTAGGACTTCCCAAAGTTTCACAAGAGGAATACTATCATAAGCCTTTTCGATATCCAAAAACACTAAATGGAGCTCCTGACCAACAATCCTCTTCTTTTCGGTTAACTGGGTCACACAGAACAGATGATCAGCAGTAGACCGACCAGCCCTAAAACCTGCTTGCTCCTTCGCCTCGAACGGGGTCCACTCCTCTTCGATCTTCGCTTTCAACACTTTTCCATAAATTTTACTTATCGTTCCTGTCACCGCTAACCCTCTGTAGTTCCCACAGTCATCCTTCCTTCCTTTTTTATGCGATGCTGTTATCCAGGCCTCTTTCCATTCGTCCGGGATGTTATCACCATCAATGCACTTCTGCAGCAAATCCCTGAGATGGTTAACCAACTTGCCAGTCCCACATTTAATTATCTCAGCCGGAATGTTTCCTGGCCCAGGAGCTCTTCCATTCATCAATTCCTTGATTGCTTTGATCACACACACATACAAAAAAATACAGAAAATATACACATACCTTTCTAAAACCATATGATTAGGCACTTCCAAATAAACTGTAATCCCTGTTTGCCTGATCAATTCCTTCCTAGCACAGTATGCCAGTAAATGCTTCTCTATCCTTACTGCAATGATAATCCCATTTGATAAGCAAGATATTAAACAGAGAAAAGTTACCTGGATGGCACACCAGGCCGGAAATCAATTGGTCGTCCATTTTTCAACCAATTTATTGAGCATCTGGGTGAACATTCCACCCGGCAGGATATGCTAATGTGTTGAGCGTTGATTAGAGCTCCATAATAAGGAGGTAGTCTTTCAATAAATGCAGGAGGAGCTGGAAAAAAAAGTACAAAGAAAATTCGTTAGAAATACTGTAATGCTTCAGAAATTGTAAGTTATTGAGATCAAGTCATCAAAATATTTGAAAATATCTCATCATAATGTCCTAGATGTTGCCAGATTTTTTTGTTGCAAATAATCCCTTGATTCATTCATATTCCCAATAGGTATCAATACCTATCAATATTTTCTGACAACAGAGGAGCAATTTCTCTTAAATAGCTAATCGTCCCGAAAGTAGTAGGTATGTGGTGAAAATTGGACGTATTTCTGTCAAACGGAACTAAGCGCCAATTTGAGTTCCTTTTAAGGAATTTAGAATGCCGGATAGCGAGTTCTGTCAAACTGAACTAAGCGCCATGGAAAGCCATTGCGAGTATAGGACGGAATGAGCCCGACGCCCGGTTTCGCCACCAATCCAAGCCCCCCCTCTACCTTCCTCACCCTATGGCGCTTAGTTCCGTTTGACAGAAATACGTCCAATTTGACTTCTACCTTTTGTAATGCCAACTTGTGGAGAATTTTTTTAAAAGTACCTAACTTTAAAAATGTCTTGTTTGAAAGATAGATACTGTTAAAAAAAGCCAACTCTAGTACTACAGAAAAACTGATAGTATTTTGATGGTGAAACTGCAGAAATGCGTATATTGGTTTACGGCGTTGCAGACTTACTGTTATGCTATGTTATAAACATGGAAAACCACTTAACGTCATTTATTGAAATTTTTGGAGATTTTTCTGCTCTTCGTGAAGAATGCTGTGTGAGAATTTCAAGCCATAATGTTGGTTTGATCTCCCTCTAAAAAATAAAATAGGAGCGGAGATTTTCAAACGCCACAACCGAGATAAGCGTTTTTGCAGTTACACCATCGGTTTGGAAACATACCCAGTACATCGATATATGTTGTTGCAGGCTGGCCATCACCACCCTCATTAACAGCGTAGCACGTAAAATTGGACTCAGACTCGAGAGTGACCAGCTCAATGGACCAGTTGCCACTGGTGACATCTGGCACAATATGGTTGCCTCGTTTCCAGCGAAAAGCTGTTGACTCTGGCCGCCCGACATCCTCCACACTGCAGCTTAATGTTACTGCACCGTTCTTCACCACCCGCCGCGGCTCGTATACAAGTGTTGCTGGCCCTGGGGGATCTGCAATGAGTAACAAGAAATTTTTCAAAATAGGATCATACCATAGAATAAACTTCATTAAAAATAAAGTGGGTTGTAGACCAGCAACCTACAGCCCGTTCCAGGTAACTTGTCCTGTTTCGCTGTAAGTGGGAAATAAGGATTCTTGCACGTCTGAGGACAAATTATCTAAAACAGGCTCTAACATTAATTTTATTCGACAGACTAACACTGAGATTCATTGATGAGTAAGAGAATGCCAATGAACGCTTCGTAAGTAGACTGAGCAATAGGTAAGTTTGATGGAAAAAATAAAAAGTTGGAATTGACAATCAAGATGAAAGCAATTGGAGCATGCAGGTAACTTGATATGGCTAAGAATACCTTACGTTTATTAGACATATGTTTGAGCACAGAAGGGCATTTCTTTGGGTATGTAAATTGATATATATTCACCAAAAGTTTGTGCTCTTCAGTGTCAAAGATGGATGCAAAGTTATTTGGTTTACGTACTTCAGAAAAAAAAAGAAAAGAACACTAAGTATAGAGGCAAGGCCAGAGCTGATTATCATTACCTGGTTCAAGTGATTGACAAATGTTTGATTGCAAATTGAGAATTTAAGAAACCAATAATAACCGTAACCTCAAACATGTCATACATAAACATAAACACCCTAACTGATTTCGCGGCCGGAAACGGAAGTAGCGCCAGTGGGCAAGGGAGGAAATAAGAAATTTGGCGGGATAAAACTTGCACGAAATTTAAAAAAGGCGCGGGAAATTCAAAAAGTCGCAACCGTGCAAAGTGTCCGCAAAGTCCCCCCTCCACCCTCGAACTTTGTACCTAATTGACGCAAAGACTTAAAACTTGGAGGATGTTCCTAGGTAGAAAGGAGCTACTTTCTGGCTCACCTAAAATTTTCAGGGAGGGGGGGGGCGCTTGAGGGAGTAACGAACCCCAACTCTTTTTTTCAAATGGAAGAACCTCAATTTCAAATCGGGGTATTTTGGCCCGAGAAAAATAAATTTGACGATCTTGTTTTTTCTGAATTTTTCAAAATGGCGGCCTGTTGAATTTAAAAATGGCGGAAAATTGGCGACCTCGGATTTTTGCGATGGAAACCTGGTTTAGGTGGTACTTTGGTGCGAGAAAAACAAATTGACGTTGGATTCTTCTTTCTCAAACCAAAAAAAATCCAAAAAAAACGCCATTCTAAGGTTGATTAGGCCGCAATTTTGAAAAGTTCGGTTTTTTTGTAAATAAAAATCCAAGAAGAAGAGGAAGAAGAAAATGGAAGAAGAGGAGATGAAGAAGATGAAAGGGAAGAGAGGGTAAGAAGAAAAAAAGGAGAAAAGAAGAGGAAGGAACAGAAGAATATGGAAATGAAGAGGAAAGCAGGGGAGCAGGAGAGGAAGAAGGATAGAGCGAAGTAAAAAAGACAGAATGATGAAGAAGAAGAGGCAGAAAGAGAGAAAGAGAAGTTGTGAGGTTTAAGCCGCTCTGTTTTCGAGACTGACTGGAAAAAGGCGTTGGACTTACAGTAAACGATGAGCTCGGTGTTGGGCGAGAGGGGGCCCCAGCCGGCCTCGTTCATGCCGATGCAGGAGTAGTTGCCGTGGAAGGTCCGCTCGACGATCTGGAGGAGAAGTTTGCTCGGGTCGATGTCGCAGTTGGCGGTGTTGTTGTCGCAGTCGGGGAGTTCCTTGAGCAGCTCCCCGTCCAGGTACCACTTGACCGCCTGGAGCTGCGAGGGGTTCCCGGCCTCCACCTGGCAGACCAAAGTGATGTTCGCCCGCGTCAGCTCGCTCACCGGAGTCGCCGGCTCCATCAGCAGCCTCACCACCGGCTTGACTGGAAGTCAAAAACACAACGCTCAAATCTCATACCCCGATAACGTAAACCGCACTGGAAAAACAAGTCGCTTGGGTCTGGATTCTAGACTCTTAAAAGCATTGACAAGAAAGAAAACTCTTGATTCAAGCGGATTTTCGCTTGAATCGAGAACCAAGCCTCTTAATTTAGGCGGATTTCCCTTCGATTCGAGCAAAAATCCGATTGAATCAAGAGTACTTTTTCTTGTCATTGATTTCAAGAGTCTGGACTCCAGATTCAAACGACTTTTAATTCCAGTGCGTCAATAACACACGGAGAAAATGGAATTGCTGATTTAACATTTTTGTAGCTAAAATGAGTGTTCGACATGTTTCAATGTAGATTTTACAATAAAAAAATGCTGATTTAACTAGCATTGTGGTTAAATTAGCTTTCCACTAGGGTACAATGTAGATTTGAAACATGTCGGACATACGTTTTAACAATTTAATTGTTATATCAGCAATTCATTTTTTCCCGTGCATGACGATTAAATCGCATCCGGCAGAGCAGTGAGTGCAGAATACAAGTTCTGAGCAGATGGTCTTGGTGTGGATGTAATGGCGGAAGGAAGTAATCAAAGCTCAAATTTTTGAAATCTAGTCTCCTTCAAAACTTTTCTAGTCTAATTAAGATTTTGGGCTGAAACTTCTTGGCTCCTTCGCGACCCAACCGTCAGGAAACGCCTAGCGCTTTTGGGTGGCATGTAGTAGATTTTAACGCTGAAATAGAAACGTAAGCCTAGGTTGTCTGCAGGTTTGCACTGGTAGCAGAATTTGTTTCAGAGGATTTTTGTGGTGAAACGTCAGTTACATCAAAGGTAAAATGAGGGACTTGGAGGACAAGAGAAATCAGTGCAGCTTTTGCTACTTCAAGAAATACGTGTTTAAAGTTTCAAAATTTCATGGAGCCGAACGGCGGCGTTTAATTTCAAATTCGCTCTTTGATGCTTAAAAATCGGATTTTTGTGATAAATTTTTCACAATTTATATTTCACCACTAATTTTAAATCTCTCGTTATGACAAGCGATTCCTCGATCTTAAGATTGCAGGCTCGCAGAGTGCACTGGTCGGAAATCACGTGCACCACGGTCGGTTTGGCACCGAAAAATTAAGAATTGTAAACGTCTATAGCGCCCACCGTGGTGAACGCGCAATGCGTGAAGTATTCCTGCGGTCTTGGAGGCGCTATTATGCGCTCAGCACGCAACCGTAGTGTACGCGCAATGCGTGAAGTATTCCGACAGTCTGATAGGCGCTAGTATGCTTTTTGCGCCGACCGCATCGTGTTTGGCGCGATTAGCTAAACCCGCCGAGTTAGCGTTTTTCAACTTGTCCCTGCCATTAAGTTTTTGCACACTGTGTGTAAAAATTACTCAGTGGCGTGGCGTGCTTTGCGATAAATCGATTGTTCTGCCACTTAAACCTATGGAAAAGGATCGATAAATAGGGTGTTCGCAGCGAACACCTTAATCATCGATTCGTTACCATAGGTTTAAATGGCATACCGATCGATATATCGTAATTCACGCCACGCCACTGAAATTACTGTCATTTAAATGATAAAAGAAAGGAGAAAAAAAATCCATAAAATCTTTCTAATTCCTGTTGTCATTTACAAGCGGTTGACACCATGCCCGCAAGCCCGCCCCTCTTGTGAAACTCCACCAATTTGTCAGCCAGTGGAAACTCGTAAACAACGGCAGTAGTCATTGCTTACACTCTAGAGCAGGCAAGTGCCTAGGTTTGACCCGTGAGCCAGGTCTACCGAGCGAAGGAAAAACGCCGTATGAACATCCAGACTTCACCAAATTTCCTTTGACAAATCAAGAATTTTCGGGAAAATTTATGAGTATTTATCTCCTGATTTTTCAGAAAATTTTGTTCGCAATTTTATCTAACGGGTCTGAAAATTTCAAGGAAAAATGTCTCCGAAAATATATATTTTCCGGAAAGCGATTAGGTGACATTTGAATGTTCATAGGGCGTTTATCCTAAGCATGGCAGAGGTCGACGGCTGCGCGTCACAGAGAGAGTTGCTCCGTTGCCATGCTCGTTACGTTGGGAGGAAAATATATGTATTTGTTACAGGAGGATCGAGGGACTGGTCCGATTTCCTCACTATGGAGAGGTTCTCGTTATATCGATAGTCATTATACGGAGAGACTACTCTACCTCATTTTTTTTTTATTTTTTAAAAAAATTGCACTCATGCGCCTTGTCCTTCAAACTCCTCAATTAATAAAATTTCGAAAATTTTTAATTTTACTTTTGAGACATTTAGAATTTTTCCGGATAATTTTAAATTCTAGCATATTATTTCCGCCCGGTCAGCATGTACGTGCCTCAATTTTAAATTGAATTTTTCTCTCATCTCGCGATACCTAAAATGGACAGAATTGAATAAAAACGTACCAAAAGGGCGTCAAGTTTGAACCGAGAAACAGATACTCTAAATGTTGAGGGTAAACTTTTACGAATATTTTCAACTTCAAATTTTTGTTTTTTTTCGACATAAAATTTTGGCAGGAGAGAATTTACGACTGATTGAATTTAAAAATACTCCCAATTCATTTTTTCCGAGATGGAACTTGGTGCGTTTCTGTTAAAACTGGGGCCGAATGTGAAAGGAACTCACAAAGAATAGAGACGTTGATGGCGTTTATAGATTCGGAGACTCCGACTTCGTTTTCGAGGACGCAAGTGTAGATGCCGTGATCGTGTCGCGTCGAGTTTTTGATGAGCAGCGTTGGTTGGTCCACTGAGCCTCCTTCGTAGTGGTCCGAGTTTATATCCACCTCTTGGTCGTTCCGAAACCTGCCGACAAAAAACAGTTAGAAAAAATATAGTAAAAAAGTATGGTATAAAAATTTTCCCTGATAGTCTTGGAAAATCTCGCAGGTAGAAACAAATCCCACATGCACAGCATCTGTGAGAAGATCCCAGATACGCTCATCATTGGACTGAAACCACCGGAATCAATTACAGTGATGCTCAAAGAGACTTAAGTGACAAAATTAAAATACGAGGAAATCGACCCGTTTTGCATCTTGTAGCTCCCACATATCAGAGCATATAATTGACTAATTACATTATTACTTATTTTGAGACTTAAACGATTGAGGTTAATTTGTACAGTTTTCACAGCTTTTCTTGAATTTTCATTTCTGGAGCTCATGTCTTTTTGAGGATGACCAATTCAATTCCCGTTGCCTTCATGGGATTCCGGATACGACACACACAGTAGACGTAGTCAATGGAAGAAGTTGGACGTAATTTGGAAACTAAAAAAGCCCCTATATCTACGTTAACACGAGCCGAAAAAATTAAAAAGTGGCTCCATTGGTTTTCTTGCAAAATTGCGCTCATAGAACATCCTTTTAAATTTACAGAGTCATGAAATAAACACCTTTGTATAACGTTTAAAAAAATCGCAAATCTAATCTTCAAATTATAAAAATGGTGAGGTTTTTCTTTCGTCCTGCAAACTCGTCAGTTTACCTAAAGGCTGCATTGTAACGAAACAATTCCGCTGAGCTCATCAATGATATTACCAAAATTCACGGTTCCGCTACCGTAAAAATCCGTGTGACATATTACCGTGCGGTAATCGTCGAATAACTGTGTTTTTTTTCTCCGTGTAGCCATGGTAAAGAATCAATTATTGAGGTGTTCGCTGCGAACACCCTGTTCATCGATCCAATTCCATAGGTTTAAATGATAGATCAATCAATATATCGACGGTGAAACTACCAAACCACGTATCTCGTTTGCGGTGTTTAAAAATCTACGCTCGCATTTTACTTTTTTGAAGTAGACCAAATCAATATCATTCCTTGAAATTTTCACAGAATTTTCTCCGCACGAAGAGGAAAAATCACAGAAATTTTCAAGACTGGACGTTAAGTAGTTTTTCATTTAAAAAATAAAGTATGACAGGAAGTCTGCGACGTCGCAAACCGAGATACGTGGTTTGGTAGTTTCACCGTCGAATATAGCTTGGCAAGTCACGCCACTGATCGGAGCATTATTTGTGCAAAAAGGCATAAATCCTAATTTTTATTTAGGCTCTTCGACTCCGATCCAATCGACACCCTGAACGATCGTAAAATAAAAAAAAAACCCTCGCTCTGCATACTTCACAACGCCAACGAACGCATTTTTTCCGCATTCTAGTCAAAGGTTTGACAAAGCTGAACCAATGTTGTCAAAGTTAACAATACACGCCGATTCATCTCGCTTTAACTAATGTTAAATCGTTCTGCATTGCGAGGAATCTGTTCGCATTGAATCGGAATGCAATCATCGCACCTCATTCCTCTCGTACTATTGCAGTTGTTGCAGTGTTGCCTTTTTGCAAATTCCAAAGTTTAATCTGTTCCCACTGACGCTGATCGGATTTTTTTTTTGGTCTCAAATAGGACTGACGGTAAGAACACATAAACGGATTCCTAGATTTCTTAATTTCCTGAAGTTTTGGAAACTTTTCATTTTACAAAAAGAAGCCTGTCATCGCTGTACATCAAAATTTGATATATTGTTTTTCATTCCTCTGTCGAAGAAAATTCAGAGACTTTCCCTGAAATTGACTGTTTACTTTTAAGAAAATGAAGATGTAAACCAGGAAAAACTGCTATCGATTCATATTCTAGTCGGTTTCATTTTTCAAATGTTTGTTTTACACAAAAGTTAGGGATGGTTTTTTTTGTCAAACACGAGTTTGAGCTAAGAAATCAACAAATAAATCGACGGCTAAAATTCAAAAATGCGTAACTCCAACTATGACGTTACAAAAATCCGCCTATATTTTTTTTAAAAAGAAACCAGCCAATCGTGCTCGAAATTTTCTAAGAATTTTCTTCTCTTATTCAAATACATTTACAAAACATTTCAATGAGATAAGATAGTTGATTTACTTTCAAAATAGTTGAACATACTAATTGAAGTTTTCAAAACTTAGCAATGGAGTTACGTATTTTTCGACTAAAAAACCATCTAAGCGACGCAACTGCACGGCGAAACTGGCAACTATTCAGACTCCTATGTAAAACATTGCGGTATCCTCTTGAAATGAAGGAGCTTTTGTTTCACTTAAATCTTGCAAATTATCTTCTCTAATCACCATCAGGTAGCCCGAGTCGCTTAGTGAACGATCTCTTGTGGCTTCTTATGTTTCCGTAGAGTTTTAATTCAGAAGTAAAATTTTAAATTCTGATGAACTCCGAACAAACGGCTCACAACGGCAACACCGGTTGATGTTTGTTTGTCCGGATTGCGCAATATGCAGGTGAACTTAATTAGACTTGTAGTCACTGCCCGCTCATGAGCGGATTTTTGTGGTTTGCATGTTTTTGTTATCAAATGTTGGGAGCGTTGGAAAGCTGCCGACATCGCCGTTTGTATTCCAAAACTAAGCGAATTGACAGTGAATCTCGATCAAGATTTTACTGTACTCAGCGGGCTGATTATTGGAAGATAGGCGAAGCGATAGACAAAGAAGACAAAGGGAAAATGGAGCGATCCCATTGGTGACGGCGGATGGTTGTAATGGACAAAGGAGGTGAGCAAAAGACTTGTAAATATAACGGCAACCCACAAGAGACCGTGAGACCCATCTCGGGCAATTATCTTGGTTAGTCCATCATTTTCTACTTTAGTCTATCACAAAAACTGTTTCAACCAGTAGGATTGCTTCATTTTCTCGTCGTTTTCTCTGTTTATCACTTTGTCGATCGATTTTAGTAACAAGTCCGCAGAATTGCATTTGGACGTAGATAAAAACTGGGTGAGTGATTATGTGCAGTTATTACTTAGTGTGCAGCACATTTTTGTTACATGTTTCCTCTTTATTCGGAGTACTGTTATGAAAGACAATTCAATTTAAAATCGAATAAAGACTTGCTAAAAATACGTGTCCTGCGGGTTGTGTGGGGCCGATGCTAACGAGCTTTAAATAGGTCTACAGACAAATCCTAAAAAATAATGGAACGTCAAACTGGAGAAAAAAATTGCGTATCGACACAAACGACGAGAGGAGAGACGTATTCGGGCTTTGTTATTCCACTCATCTCCCGGTTTTGAGCGACACGTTGCTGGAAGCATGTATCGGAGCATTGCGGAGCTCACGTCTCGCGCCAACGCGCCTTCAATTTTACAGATGCAGGACGGACATCCAATAAGTACGAATAGTTGTATCTCTGCGCCGTCATCAATACAAACCTACCTTCAAATTTACAGAACTCGCAATATGTTTTATTTCAAATTTTGTATTCTCTGCAGAAGCTCGTATGACCTTATTTGTTTTGAGTACAAAACAACTTTTAGGTTGCTTAGATGTAGATCTTATCCTGCGGGCTGATTATTGAAATTGACAGATAAAAGCAATAGACAGAGAAGACATTGGGCAAATGAAAGATCCTATTGATGTAATTGGGTAGTTGCAGTGGACAAGGGAGGTAAGTAATAGACTAACTAACAGCGACCCAAGAGGGACCCTACCCTACAGTTAGTCCATCGTTTGCCCCTCTGGTCTATGAGAACCACCCGTTTCAATCAATAGGATCACCTCATATATACCCTTGGTCTATTTTGTCTATAGCTTTGTCTGTCAATTTCAGAAACCGAAGTAGTCCATTCGAAAAAGCCTAAAATAGATCGTATTTGATACATCAAACAGGTGAGATTGTATCGATATCGTTTACTTTGACATGTAAACATAGCTTCAAAAGTCAACTGAGACATCTGAGGGAACGGGTTTTTTGTGATAGATTTCTCATTCTTTTAAGTATCAAACGGCAATGCAAGGTGAAATTGTCAGGAATTTCCTCATTTTCATCTGTTCCAGCTTAAATCCTTACATTTTTGTTTGGGGTTATGTTCAATCGTTTTGAACCCAACGATACATCGAACCACTACCTATCGAATAGGATTCATCGCTCCACTCAACTAGCATTTCCCTTGGCACTCAATTATGGACGAGCCGGTGCCGGTGTTTTCTAGACGATATTATATGCACAGAGAAACTGAGCCGCGAGAAATGCACCGGTGCAAAAAAGCGTGTGAATCAAAAAATGTTTTGAGAAAGGGAGGAGGACCGTAAATCAGGAGATGACCGGGGCGAAGGACGGAGCCAAGCGAAAACATCCCTAAATCAAAAGTCGGGCTTAAATAAAAACAATATTTCTGGGCTCATTGACAGGCCCGCTGAATTTATTACCGCTCCCAGATTCGGGAATCAACACCTCCATCGCCGCGAAACCGATTATTCTCCCAATTCGGTCCCGCCCGCCGGGTTTCTTCACCTTCTAATAATGCCATACCAAGATCCCACGTTGCCAGATGCACTCGGAAAATCTGACTAATCCAGAGACAGAATATTTTTGAAATCCCGCACTAAAAATCCAAGTGCAGTTCACTGGGAAAAAAAAGTCGCTCGGATCTAGAGTCCAGACTCTTGAAAACAACGACAAGAAAAAATACTCTTGAATCAATCGGCTTTTTGCTTGAATCAAAAGGAAATCCGCTTATACTAAGAGACTTGGTTCTCGATTTAAGCAAAATTCCGATTGAATCGAGAGTATTTTTTCTTGTCGATGTTTCTAAGAGCCTGGACTCTAGATCCAAGCGATTTTTTTTTTCCAGTGTTTTATCGAGAGAGGCAAACGTGAAATTCAGAGGTCAACGCTGATGATTGATGAGCAACTTGTTGAGCGAAAAATCAAATCAATGATGAGTGATGAATTTCGGGGTGAGAATTAGGCGAGTTTTTTTGTTTTTTGTTTGCAAATTACTTTAGGATTGCTACACCAATCACTCAA